GTGTAAAGTAAGCAGGCGATTTCTAAAAGAACGGAATATATCTGAAAATATAGGGGTTGCTATCTTAAGGATTCAAGCACATTGAAGCACTAAAGAAGCACTAACCATTCATCTGTAACTGAACATTGGTGCTTCCCTAAGGTAGAATGGTTCACAAAATCAGTAGTAGGATAGTATTTTTACAATTTTTGGAGCCAAATATATGAGAGATTGCTCAATCCAATATAGATCATGGCATTGTGCTCTTCAAGAATATAGAATGAAATATAGGGCATCCCATTTGAAAAATGCTGGAAGCATGCAAAATTTCACATTTCTAACATTCAAATTTTGTTTCTGACCATGGTTTCTTCTACCTGTGAAGGTAAAGGCTGTAAGTGGGGTGTCAATATATAAAAAAACACCCTGTACAAATAAGTGGATTATTGCGGAACTTATGGGTGGACCTCTGCGGGACGAGCGCAGCGAGTTCCGCAGCCATCTACTCTCCAATATACTGTTGAACTGTTCAAATAAGACACTCACCTGAAACGTGTAGTTTTTGAACTAATGAGAAAAATTCTCAACTGAGTGAATCAGGTTAGTTGAACAACATATTAGTGAATAGATGACTGGGCTAGATGGCTGGGTCCACCCATAAGTTCCGCAACAATCCACTCGTTTGTACTTGAATAACTTGTCACAATATATTACTAGTTTGGTAAAGTAACATTACTAATTCCTGTTAAAAGGCCAATTGATAAAAAGTTGATAATCTTACAAATTCTGACTTTATATAATAAGTTATTGTTCAAGTACAAATGAGTGGATTGTTGTGGAACTTATGGGCGGACTTCTGCGGGACGAGCGAGTTCCGCAGCCATCTAATCCCCAATATAGGTACTTTTGAACTGTTCAAGTAAAACATTCACCTGAAATGTGTAATTTTTAAACTAATGAGAATAACGCACATTTGAGTGACTCAGTTTAGTATCGTAATTAAATAACATATTGATGAATAGATGGCTGTGGAACTCGCTGCGCTCGTCCCGCAGAGGTCCACTCATAAGTTCCGCAACAATTCACTCATTTGTGCTTGAATAACTTGTCACATTATGTTACTAGTTTGGTAAAGTAACATTACTAGTTCCTGTTGAAAGGCACATTGACACGAAGTGAATAATCATAATCTTATAAATTTTGACTTCATATAATAAGTTATTGTTCAAGTACAAATAAGTGGATTATTGCGGAACTTATGGGTGGACCTCTGTGGACAGCCATCTACTCACCAATTAATACTGTTGAACTATTCAAATAAGACACTCACCTGAAACTTGTAGTTTTTGAACTAATGAGAATAACTGACGTTTGAGTGAGTCAGGTTAGTATCGTATTTGAACAACGTATTAATGAATAGATGACTGCTGAACTCGCTGCGTTCTTCCCGCAGAGGTCCACCCATAAATTTCGCAACAATCCACAGGTTTGTACTTGAATAACTTGACACATTATGTTACTAGTTTGGTAAAGTAACATTACTAATTCCTGTTGAAAGGCAAATTGACAAAAAGTGGATAATCTCACAAATTCTGACTTCATATAAGGTGTTCAAGTACAGGGTATTTTTCTATATATTGACACCCCACTTACAGCCTTCACCTTTACAAGTAGATGAAAGGTAAATACAAAAGTTGTACAGTATTAGCTAAATTTTTAGAATCCATGGTCAGAAACAAAAATTGAATGTCAGAAATGTGGAATGTTGCATGCTTTCAGCTTTTTCCAAATGGAATGCCCTATATTTGGTTTTTAATATATTCTTGAAGAACACAATTTCCCGATTCCAAAACTATATAGTTTGTCTATATTTGGTTGAGCCGTCTCCAACATATTTGGTTCTGAAAATTTTAAAAATACTATCAGAGAAACCAAGTAATACCTCAAATTTTACCTGCAGCTTTCACCTGTATGTTCCTGCTGGGTGTGAAGTGAGCAGGCAATTTCTAAAATCCGCAATATCTCTGAAAAAAAAAAATTGCTAATTTGGGGATTGAAGGACTAACCATTTATCTGTAACTGAACGTTGGTGCTGGTGCTTCCCTTGTTCGTTGCTAATTTGGGGATTGAAGCACATTGAAGCACTTACAAATCGCTGAACGATTACATAAAATTTAACTTTTGTGCTTCAAGTGTGCCTGCCTATTTCACAGAGCCCAATAATTACCTATTTTGTATATTTCAGGCACTTGAACTTTCCTTATAGAGGAAAACAAAAATTCAAATGTCTGAAATAAAGAAGATTGAGACGAAAAAGAGAAGTTAGATTAGTAAGGAATTCTAAAAAAATTAAGAAAAAATCGGTGCCTTATTAACAGACATCTCTTTCTGTTTTAGTCTTTTGAATTGTTCTAACTTGGGTTGATGAATTTTCTTTAAAAAATGAATCTAAAAAGAAAACAAAATACAAGAGCTCAGAATTTAGTCGAAAAACGATTCGGAAAAATTGGAAAATAGAGAAAGACTTGAATTTTATTTATTTGGATAAACTCAGAGAAAAACATCTTGGTATTCAAGAGCGTGGAATAAACGAAAAAGAAAAAAAGAAAAACACACAGAAGAAGTGGTAGACCAGAAATATAGAAATATTTCTTATATTCCAGGCCCTTGAATTTTCCTTATTTTTATTCGTAGAGAAAAACAAAAATTCAAAAGTCTGGAATAGATAAGAATTAAGACAAAATAGAGAAGAGAGAAGTAACTTCATCTACTTCTCTATCTAGAGAATCCAATAATGATTGAGAAAAATCGGTTGAATAGCCTGGAATTTAGTCGAAAATGAGTCGGAAAAATTGAGAAATAGATAGAGGAAATTTCTTGAAAATTGAGAAAAAAATTGGTAGACAAGAATACGTAATATCTTTTATTAGACATTAGGTGTATTTAGAGCAGAACAAAAATTGAAGAACCTGAAATAATAAAAAGTGAAACGAAAAAAATGAGAAATAGGCAAAGGAAATTAAATGAAAAATTGCGGAACAAAATCAATTTTGGAATAACTGAAACTCTATATCAAAATATCGGAGATAACTAGGTACCTATAGAGTGAATGTTTGCTTTTAGTTAACTTGCTATTTTGAATAACTTTGTCTAATGGAAAATTCGATTATGAATAACCGCCAAAAATGTCTTCCGTATTTCTATATTTAATTTTTGATTTCTCCTAAAACTTTTATTTGAAATTCATGGTTCATGGATTTTGTGGTTGTTATACCTTGCCAGAATAAGAAGTACAACTTCTCAAACATACCTAGAGACGTGAAGAATGAAGGAAGAATGTGTTCTCACTCGGTTTTCTACGTAGATAATGGTAAAATAGCCAGGGCTCTTCTTATATTTGACAAGTTGTACCTATGTATATTATCTACAACCATCTGTATAAAAAAAATAAGTTTTTGAGTATACCTACTTACAGGCAAAACTTGCTGTTGAATTTCACAAATTCGTTTTCCAATGGATCGAATCTCTCATTCCAGCATATTGATGTTTCTTTTAACAACCCATACATTTTCTCAATTTCAAAAATTTGCTTCAAATCTCAACTTTTGCTGGCAACAGGTGCTTATACAGGGTGTCCCACTAAGGTCGGGCAGGTACGATATTATGGAGACCATAGACATTACGTAACTTGAAAACGAATGCAGATATTGAATTGCGGTTTGCGCCAAAATGTAGATATTTTTTTGCTCTTCAAGCACAGCAATACAAAAATAATATTATGCCATATGGATTTTTCATGAAAATTAGAAAAAACTGGATCTTGAATAAACAACGCCCTCTAGAAGACGCGGTGGGAACTATCGACCTCGAACGAAGTGGTATTCTTAATAACAATGAAATTCTCTTCCAAATAAACCCAAATTGAATGAGTTTAAATGAGGGGTATGGAAGATACAGCAATTTCTAAAAAAAAAATTTCACCAGCTTCTCCCACCCTTATTATTGAATATACGAAAAAAAGCCTAATAACCAAACTGGCGCAAAAATTAATAAACGTTTGATTTCTCTTATTAAAACAGTATCTTAATATAGCGATTTCTTGAGAAAAGTTGAATTTTTAGCTATATCATCTTAATTGTGCCCCCTAGCGGTCATCCTAGAAACTTGAAAATAATTTCCATCAATTTCTCTTGGCCGATTTAGTGAAGAAAAAAAAAATCCTGAAGCCGTAAGGTCTATGATTTCCATAATATCGTACCTGGCCGACCTTAGTGGGACTTCTGGTACATACAAGTATGTACTTATATTTTTGCGCCTATTTTTTAATCTACGGGCTTTTTGGATGTGAATTATCCACTTTCGTATCAATAGCCCTAACATGCTGTCCATGCTGAGAAATGTCTTTCACTTCTTTCCATGTTTCAATTCTTTGATGCAGTCAAGCTCATTTTTGAAACTTAGTTGATTTTCTAATCCTATTTATTTTTTGTATAGGGTTTGAGATGAGAATGAACCAGTGTATCATAATGATTTGTTGAGAAAGTCATGTATCCTTAATTCAAGTTTTCTTGTCTTTGGTCTAATCGCGATTTTATTACTTTTTCTCCAAACCGTCATCTGTAAACTGAAGATTTTTCATTTACTCTTTTTCATTTTCATATTTTCTTCAAAATTGTCTTTTGTTTCGGTTTTCAGCTCACGATATGTAGGTGCAGCTTTTCTAGTGGTGAGAGAATGTGGTCTGATGATCTTCCTGTACAAACACCATAGGTATATGATAATAGATGACCATGACCAGATATAACTTAGCCCTCCATTTGTATTCGTTATGGTGAAGTCTTTGAATTCCATTGCATTAGATAAGTAGGTAATATTAACACCTCACTGAGAATGTGGTTTTCATAGGTAGATTTAAAGTTAGTTTGGTATAATTTTTGGCTGTTAGGAAATTAATCCTGTAAATGTGGTAGAATTTTCTTTTTGCACTTTTTAGTAATATCTATTTGTGTACCTATATAGGATTTGAAGGCTAAAATATTTTCAAATAAACAAATAATCAGTTTTATAGGAGACGCTGAGGTGCATATAAAGAATAATTGCTCCAGATAAGAAATAAAAATGCTGACCACAAAAAGCAATGAAAATTAATCATTTATTTAACAAAAAAACACTATCGTAAGAAAACTTATAGGTACATATCGCTAATAAAACAATAGGCTATTGATGATAAATTCTCGGCAAAATTTTGTTACGGCGGGTCTTATCGCAACATTCTTAATGTGAGACATTGGGTTTGTGTCAAATTAGACGCTACCGTGATTGTATCGCGAGTACAAAAAGTGATTTTTTTGAATTAAAACTTTTGATTTGTGTGAACCATGGAATATCAAAGTGCTGAAAGATGGAGTTTGAGACAATTCTATACTAGATCCATCATCAATTTGAAATCTTGGGCGCAAACTGATGTAGGACGAAACAAACAATCCAATTTGCGTCTCAAATGGGTGTTCTTATCTCAACGACATGCAGCTTTCGTAGTGAATATTTATGGAAACCTATTGCTCAGAGATCTAAAAGTAAGTTTCAATACTGCATAGTAGTTGAGACAAAAATGGTGCTAATTAATTTTAACATTTAATCAACGAATTCTTCTTTTCTAGAGTACTTCCGGAACATTTGTTAATGGACAAGCATTGCCAACGTGCAAAAACCGAGTCCTGGCTCATGGAGATATTGTGAGTTTTGGGTTGGGACATTATGTAGACGCTACCACTATACCCATGAAGTTGTGCTTCTTTGAAGTGATTGCAGGAGATGGAGGATCAACAATGGTAAAAATTTGATTTCTTTCCATAAATCTGTCATATATTTTTGCTAATATTCATATTTAACGTATCACAGCGCTTTATATCTTCTAATTCTTCGAATAGTTCATCCCTATTCCTATTCCCATGTCCCTTAATAGTATCGTTTATAAAATAATAATAAGTACCTAACTACTTCACACACATCAACATCATTTTCGATTACCTATTAGTTATTTGAGAACCAAAAATTACTTGTTTTCATGAAGGAAATTTATTCCAAAATATTTTGCAGGGTACTTTGTTAAAAGGTACAGGAAAAAAACAACCTCTCGACGCTGCTGAACCGGAGCCTATTCCAAACACTTCCAAAGTTAACGAGGAGTCAATTGATTCTGTTATTGACTCGTCCACAACGGGATCAGAAGGCTCGACATCTTCCAAAGGACAAGAAAAAGCCATACAAAACATTCAGCCGACAAGAGTATTCGATCCGATGATATCCAACACTGACAAAAATCAGTTGATATAGTAAAAACCCAAATTTTTCCATGAAAATTTCCCAAGATATTTATTTTATTTTTTTTTAGTTCGAGATTACAGTCGGCAGGAAACAGTTCCGTGGAGGCAGTTTCAGAGACGGACGATTTTTCAAGATGGGTTGACGGCTGCATCGGAAAGATTGATATAAATATGGACAATTTGTCACTAGCACAATTTGAGATGCCTCAAACTAGTAATGCAACTATTTACACGCACGATGATTCTGATGAGACCGAAATACCATCAACATCTCAAGAGATTATCAATACACCATCAACATCTAAGATGTTAGTGAGTAAAGAAGAGTCAAGTTCAAAGGCAAAAAGTCCTCCAACTGACGAATCTGCTTTGTTATGCGAGCAAAATAGGTCAGGAACTAAAATAACAATTTTAAGGAAAACGAAAATCAGGACCGAACGCGTGAATCTATTTAAAATGGAGGATGCTGAAAAAGAGCACATTAAAGCTATACGCAGGAAACGATTGGAAGAATTGGTGCAGAAAAAAAAAGGTAACAAGAAATCGATTCCTTTACAGAATTCATTCGAAGTATATGTAAGAGCTGAACTCGATGATGAACTCTTCAATAAATCAGATAAGGATGATAACGGTGATGAATAGTTCCATTGGAGCAGAAATGAAGAAGCATGTGTGATAAGAAATGATCTTATGACATAAAACATAATATAAATACCTGTACTTAATATGTTATTGTTTTATATATTCTATATAATATGTATATCCTTTTATAAATTTATATTTATATATTATTATGTATTGTAAACTTGTATACTTTTGTTGTTTTAAATTTATTTATATAATAAAAAATTGAAGCTAGAGTTGTTCAAAATTTATTTTACCCTCTGATGGCATTATTTGTTACAGCAATACAGTAAAAATGGGAAAGATAGGTAAGTACCCACAGTAGGTCTGAGGTCATAGAGAACTAAAACCGATGTCCAAAGCCTTAAAGATGTCTTTTCTAGGTCTGCATTGCGTCTGAACGTCTGAAGTCCAAAAAAATCTTCTTGAATGTCTTGGGAAAATGTCATAAAGACGATTTTAGACAGACGTTGGGCTTTGCACCATACGACGTTTAACAGATGTCTTCAAGATGCCTTGAACACGTATTTAGACGTCTAAAAAACGTCTTGAGAATGTCATTTGTGGGGATGTCTACAAAAACTTCCCACATAACTCGTTCTCAAGTCTTGAGAACTTTAATAAGTCTCTTGAAAAGTTCAAAACCACTTAAAATTGAATTCAGAATTTCCAAAAGTATTCTATAGCGTTTCAGATCAATTCGGAAACTGCAGAACCATTTTAGAACACTCCAGACATTCAAAAATCGATTTAAAATTTCCAAAAGCATTTCAGAAATTCAGAAGTTTGAAACCCATTTTAGGACGTTCCAAAACACTCAGTCTCCAGAAACATTTTGAAAACCGCCAGAATCTTAGGATTCAGGTTGGTTAAAAGTTACAGAACGCCTTCCTGAGGCGTTCAAGAGCGAATTTAAATTGCTGTAGAATTTTGAACCTTTGGTAAGCATCAAAAACAGTTCAAATCCAAATCCAATCAAAATGCTGCTGGAAAGCGTTTTAGATAGAACGTTCTAAATGGCTTATTGAAGTTCTAAAGTGTTCTAGCTTGGCTTGAACAGTTCTGGAGCATTTTAGAAGTTTTTCAGTAATTTCTAAATTGTTCCGGATACATTTTTAGGTATTTTAGAGCCCTATATTGAAGCTCCAAAGTGATCTAATTTTCTTGAGTAATTGATGACGTCAAACTTGAATCTGGTTCAAAACGATTCAAAAGATTCTCGAAGACCGTTTCAATAGAGTATTTCGGTTCCAAGGTTCCTAAAGTCAATAGGTTGTCTAGTAATGGGTAACTTGATGACGTATCTGGGGTGCCTTGTGATTTGCTTTATGTTGCGGTAGTCAGGGCCGTATCACCCATAAGGCCCATGCCTAAGACCCGTAATAAGCGGCCCGCTCCGATGTATTATAAATTATTTATGGAGAGGTACTTTTTTGCATCAAAAAACCTTAAATTAACTTATGCCTAATTACTGTAAGGCCCGGTTTATTCGTCTTCAAATAAACTAGCTGGTAACTATCTGCAAAATAAACTCACCATTCTATTGGTCGACGGATAATTGGCCGACCAATGGGATTACAGATTGCATTTTTATCCGTCAGATTGCATACCTGACAGTTTATCAGAAGGAAAATAAACCAGCAATAAGTACCTATTTATTTGATAGCTGCAATTTTCCGATGAACTTGGAATATATTATAAAACACAAGCACATGCAGGTGTTAAATCATCTAGGTGCTTCATTTAATTATAGGATGCGGAAGTTGAAGTTACTTATGCTATTACATGTTATGATAACTGGAGAAATGAAAATGAGAGCCAGAGAAACATTTAAAAATTACAGAAAATTCAATGTAGATCGTAGATCGAAAGAAAAGTCTTTTAGTCTCCTTTAATCTTCACTTCTTTTCAGGACTTTTCTTTCGATCTACGATGAATTGTACTTCACTCCGGACAAATCCTCGATTCTCTTCAATGTAAAGTCTGTTTTTTTTTTTAAAGATAATTCCCCAAGTCAAAAATTTAATAACTATGTTGGCAACGAAAGCCTTTCCTACATAAAAAATGTGAAAGCATTGACAACTTTACATCGTATTGCCAACATAATGTCATTAGGACACTTATCTTTGAAAAAAAAACAGACTTTAGATATTTTACCTACGAGCGTGCGGTAAAGTGTACTTTACCGCACGTATTTGAGAATGGAAAGTATCACTTTACCGCACACTATGCGGTAAAGTTAACTTTACAGCATAGTGTGTGGTAAAGTTAACTTTACAGCATAGTATGCGGTAAAGTGGACTACAAAGTGTGCGGTAAAGTGCACTTTACCGCATAGTGTGCGGTAAAGTAGAATTTGATATTTATAATCAAAATTCCTTTCTTTTTCAGAAAATGGATTTTTGATCATTCCTAAATTTAATCTTATTTCATTAATTAATCTGATTCATTAATTAATTTTATCAATGCTTTTTTTGGAGATGTAGATGCTCATGGTAAAATGTTGTACCTAACACATGCGGAAAGTGCCTTTACCGCCCTTAACGGCTTTTGCGTGCGGTAAAGTATCACTTTCCGCATTTGTTAGGTAAATAACTATTACAATTACCCTAAAGAGTGAAAGTGAAATAAAAATATCTGCAGCTAAACTGAAATTGATTTATTTCAATGACAATAGTGATGACAAGTTTGAATCAGAACTCCTACATTTTATAATGCTTTTATCAGAACACCACAATATAGTATATTACATACCGAGGTGGGAAGTGTTTCATTACTGTCGAGAGATTAGTTAGTTAACTTCCGTCGAAGTTAACTATAATCTCGAGACAGGAATGAAACTTTCTACCGGGGTTTGTATACTTAAACTCTGTTTTTTTTTTAAAAGATAATTCCCCAAGTCAAAAATTTAGTAACTATGTTGGCAACACAAGCCTTTTCTACATAAAAAATTTGAAAGCATCGACAATTTTACATTGTATTGCCAACATAATGTCATTTTGACTTTTATCTTTAAAAAAAAAAAACACACTTTATTTTTTATCTATAAGAGTTTGGTCATGACGTTTTTACATAACTATTTTTCTAGTATTTGAGTTATGTCATGAGACTTATAACAGAACAATAGTGTTATGGACTAGGTTATGAATTCATGGCACAACTATTTGTGGAGATTTGACAAATGTCAAAGTTAAACCTGTAAAGGTAAAATGAAGGTAGATAACGACTTATAAACGAAAATGATTGAAAAAACATTCTTATTTTTCGCTTTGTAGATACAGCGTTGTACATCACACCTGCGTTTAAACATAGCTACAAAACTCCTGTGATTAGAACGACTCGGTCTACGACCTCATCGTTCTAATCTATCACACTCGGTATTGTAATCATGTTCATAAATGCACTTGTAATATGTAAATAACTATTATTTACAACAATTACAACCAACACAATTTTTGACTTAATACTAAAATAGAAATTGAAAAAATTTGTTCACAAGTTCTAACTTATCTGAAAAACCGCTTGACATGCAGGACTTGTCTTTAACATGGCTTACTTTCCATCCGGTTGGAAAGTGAGCACTTTCCACTCGGGAAGAAAGTTTTTGATTTGAGTATTGAGTAGAATTCTTTATTTACAACAACATACGTAATGTTGACATTTCTGACTTTTCAAAAGTTTGAAAGTGACACTTTTTTTGAATTTTACTTTCCTCCCGGGTGGAAAGTGCTCGCTTTCCGACTCTTTAATGTTAAGAATGGACTTTTGCCTGTAGCATTAGACAATAGAATAGTCAAAAAATTCAGAGTATCTCAACATTTGGAAAAGTCGACTGCAGATTCTCGTCTTTTTTCAGTTTGTAGATATCAACAAGTGTCGACATTGAGTGAAACTCTTTATTTACAACCACATACGTTATGTTGACATTTCTGACTTTTCAAAAGTTTGAAAGTGACACTTTTTTGAATTTTATACTTTCCTCCCGGGTAGAAAGTGCTCATTTTCCATCCGGATGAAAAGTAAGCCTTCATTTCCTAAAATGTTAAAGGCAAGTCCTGCATGTCAAACGTTTTTTCAGATAAGTCAGTACTTGTCAATTTTTTTTTTTTTTTTTTTTTTATTTAATAGTATATTATACATACACTGTCCTTCCACCTCTTTGACTAAATACTAAATAAAAATTAGAAAAATCTTGTTGACAAGTTCCGATTTATCTAGAAAAACGTTTTTAACATGCACGACTTGTTTTTAACAGTTTAGGAATTGGGGACTTACTTTCCACCCGGGTGAAAAGTGAGCACTTTCCATCCGGGAGGCAGTGGCGGCTCGTGGTGTCTAAGTAAGGTAATAAGGGTGGGCGACAAAAATAAAAAATAGCCGTATGCGTATTTTTCAAGATTTTCAAGGTTACGACCTTTTCCAGTGGCGCAGCCAGGTTTTTTATTTGGGGGAGGGGGGGTTTTCATAATGATGAAGGCTCGCCGCAGGCAGGCGCTGCCGTAGGCTGGCCGCCATAGAAAGAATTTTTTTTCGGGTGTCACGCCCATTTTAAGCCTTCAAAAAATAACTTTTTGTAAATGATTGTATAAGTTATGTGTTTACCTCGCTGTTTACTCACCTAAATCAACTCGCCTAGAAAACGGAATACATACTATGTAAATTTGGCCTGGAAATCTGGAAAAAAAAAATTAACAAAAAGCGTTCAAGCTTTGCGACCAAAAAGGCCTATTCTTTGCACCAGTTCTAAATTTCGGAGGGGTTTTAACCCCCAAAACCCCTCCCTTGGGTGCGCCACTGGCCTTTTCAAATGTTGTATTAAAAATATTTTTTATTTTTTCTCCAGGGTGGCGGTGCCCATCTTGCCCATATGAGCGAACCGCCACTGCCGGGAGGAAAGTAAAATTCAAAAAAGTGTCATTTTCAAACTTTTGAAAAGTCAGAAATGTCAATGTGGTTGTAAATAAAGAATTTCACTCAATGCCGACACTTGTTGATATCTACAAACTGGAAAAAGACGAGAATCTGTAGTCGACTTTTCCAAATGTTGAGATATTCTGAATTTTTTGACTATTTTATTGTCTAATACTACACGCGAAAGTCCATTTTTAACATTAAAGGGTCTGAAAAAATTACTTACGCAGCACCATGGATCAGACACGCTTGAGTTCTTTAGGAATTCCCAACATAGTCAACATTGAATCAAAAATTGTATATACAAACACTGTCATTTGAATCTAGTATCAAAAAATTTGCGGAAATGAATACCATATACAGGGTGTCCCAGGGAAAACAGTCCACCCCGATTTATTGGATTTGGAATGAGAATCTGGAAAAACGCTCGGACACGTCGATGTTTGATTTGAGGGGGAACTATTTTTCAGTTTGTTTCATCCCCGTAGCTTCAATCCCCTAGCTAGGGGGAGAACAACCCCCCAAATTTGAATAGGGGATAGGGATCGTGTCAAGCCTCTTTTTGAAGGTCTCATCGAGTTCTTTATGGCCCTAAAATTTCATCTTATTATTTTCATCCGTAAATGACAGCTTGTCAAAATATTGGAAATAGACTATTGTTTAAGTAGGAGTGAAAGCGGTACTTACCTCCCTAATAAAAATACGAGTAAAAGTACCTACAGTTCACAATTCTTGTGTACACCTCATTAATAATCATAATAAAAAACTTCAATTTCAAGTATTTTTATTAAGGGAGGTGAACATCGCTTTTACTCCCATTAAAACAATGGTCTATTTCCAAGATTTTGACAAGCTGTCATTTCGTTACGGATGAAAATAATGAGATGAAATTCTAGATCCATAAAGAACTCCATAAGACCTTTAAAAAGAGATATGACACGGCCTCTATCCCCTATTCAAATATGGGGGGTTGTTCTCCCCCTAGCTAGGGGGTTGAGGCTACGGGGATGAAAAAAACTGAAAAATAGTTCCCCTCAAATCAAAAATTGACGTGTCCGAGCGTTTTTCCAGATTCTCATCCCAAATCCAATAAATCGGGGTGGACTGTTTTCCCTGGGACACCCTGTATGTATTTTGTATGAACCTGCATTACCGATCTATAAATTATTGGTCGGCATCTATAACTGGCCGACCCATATGATTACAGATTGCGTTTTTATCCATCAGATTGCATTACCTGACAGGTTATCAGAAGGTGAATAAACCGGCCCTTAAACTCTGTAATACCTAGGTATTTTCCTTCAGATTTTCCTAAAAATATTTTTTCTATTACCGTGTGTAATGTACTTACTTTACACACTGTTCAGAAGACGTAAAATTTCACTTCAAGCACTAGTGCGTAAAGAAATTCACTTCACACACCAGTGCGTAAAGTAATGTCAATGACAGATGCCGACAACTGTTAGTTTAGTATTTTTCTAGTAAATTACTTCACGCACTAGCAAGGATGATAAACACTACTAAAGCCTGTTTTTTTTTAAAGATAATTCCCCAAGTCAAAAATTTAGTAACTATGTTGGCAACACAAGCCTTTTCTACATAAAAAATTTGAAAGCATTGACAATTTTACATTGTATTGCCAACATAATGTCAGTTTGACTTTTATCTTTAAAAAAAAAACAGATTTTACTACAGGATTGCCTATCCTCATAAGGCCTGTGTGTAACAAATCCCTCCCTTCCCCCCTATATACGCCAAACAACCAGTTGTGACGTAGGCAGCAAGTTATTTCTCGTTTTGACGTAGGCTGTTTAAACAGCTGATGACGTCGGCAATGGTTGTACACCAATATGGCGGCGATCACCAAAAACGAGGCCGATGAGCACTCCTTATAGCGTGTGTATTCTCCTTGACGCACTAGTACGTGAAGTGAAAATACTTCACACACTAGTGCGTAAAGTATTTGCCTAGTACTTTTCCGCACGCATTTCCGGGCTCAAAGTTACATTTTTCCGCACTCAGTGCGGATACAGGCCTTATCCGCACTGAGTGCCGAAAAGTAATAGACCTATCTATTTTTACCTGGATGCGCGCGCAACACGAGGCAATGCATTTTTATTGGCTAACTAATACAGGTGAAAGGTGTTCGTTTTGCACGCTGGGCATCTCCTTGTCTTTGTTCATTGCCTGTGGTCTGACAAGGATCAGAATTATGGTTGATAAATAATTTGACGTAGCTTGACAAGTGATCGATTGTCAATTGTTTGTGTTTCTGATTGACAAATATGTTGCACGTCACGCGGTTCTCCTCCTTCCCTTTTTATCCCGTGCAAATAATAAGAAAGGGATTGCTATACGTAAGTCTAACATGGTTTGGTACGTTTTGCCTCGTCTTGCGCAATAAGCGTTCTTCGTCTTTTTCTATCTAATACAGTTTTCGTATTATTACCTCTTTGTCTGGTAAAATAGATAGGTCTATTGTCAAGCAACAATAAATGCACCTGTCGACTTTGACACATGATGACAAATTTTTTCTCTGTTTCTATATCAGCCAACATCTATATAAACACCAAATATAAATTAACTTTGACACATTGTCAGATTTGTTCTCTATTTATATGCAAAAATCTACAAACTTTCTCATCAAATTTAAACGCTTTAAGATGAACAGCTCTGACGAGGATTTTCTGTTATTTTTTTTTGTTATGTAATTTTTTGATAAATGCACTCCGCTTCGCGTCGTTCGTATAACTGTGTTTGCGTGCGGAAAAGTAACACTTTGCGCACTTGTTAGGAAAATAACTATATTTACACATATTTTATTAGTAGGTAGTAGAAAATTTTTTGTATGCAATACTCATGTGATTGTCGCACTCGCCTTCGGCTCGTGCGTCAAAATTCACATTCCGTGAGAAAAGGTTCACTTTACACACTTGTTGCATAGATAACTATTTTTTTTTTTGTGTTTCACTTAGGGCTGGTTTATTCACCTTTCGATAAGCTGTCAGGTGTCAGGTAATGCAATCTGATGGATAAAAAAGTAATCTGTAATCCCATTGGTCGTCCAGTTATCCGCCGATCAATAGGATTATAGAACGGTAAATTTATCTTGCAGATAGTTACCAACAAGTTTATTTGAAGATGAATAAACCGGGCCGTTAGGCAAATAAAAATTGCGATTGAGCCTATTTAGAAAATTTGAAGATTTTAATTTGAAATATTCTACTTTATCAAATTTCTGAAGGCCCCAGAAGCCAATTCCGGTTCACCCCTTCTTGAAATTATGGGCCCGGTGGGGCCCGTAATTTCAAACGGGCCTAGGGCCCCAAATGTTCTGGATGCAGCACTAATGCGGCACCCCAGATGACGTCATAAAGTTAGGCAACCTACAGTACCTCTCTCAAATAACCTTGTTTCAGTTCATAAAATAGTGACGTCAGAGTTAAAACTGTTTTAGAACAGTCTTTGAAACTGTTCCCTCAAAAAAAAAAAAAACCTTGAATTTAAACTGTGCTGGATGCATTGATGGATGCATGGATGGATGCTTATTGACGGTTCAGTTTCCTGTTAAGACGTCATTGGTGGGTACCATTCCTGGAAAAAAATCACAATCGTAAAACAACGCATTCTTCTAAAACAATTGCCGCATTGACAACATTTTTTGACACTTTTGGAAAAGTCTTCATTTGGCTATATTGGCTGAATAATTTCCAAGAATGGAGTTACAAAGCGCAAAAAACTGGAGCTTGAGACAACTCTTCACCAACTCGTTAACTAACTTGCCACCCTTAGGGCAAATTGATGTAGGGCGTGCTAAATCTTCTAATCTATATATCGGAGTGGCCTCTCTATCATCCCGACATGCAGCTTTCGTGGTGAACTGTTATGGAAATTTACTTTTGAGAGATCTACACGTGAGTAGCTTTTATTTGGAGTGAAAAATACTGGAATCATTAATCGTTTTATATATAGAGCAATACTGGCACCTTTGTCAATAAACAACTATTACCGTCATGCAAAAACAAACTACTGGCTCATGGCGATATCGTGAGTTTCGGCGTTGCGCATTACGATGAGCATTCTATGCCCAAAGAAATGAAAGAATGTTTTTTCGAAGTAATAGCAGATGATAGAGCATCTGGAATGGTAAATATTTAAATATTGTACGCAAACATAATAATATTGAATACTTTGTAGGGTATGGTAGAAGATTTGACCGCAACCGTTGCCAATAATGGTAAACCCATTAGGTCTGATGACAACGAAGACGGCAAAGCAAAGTCTGGTATTGAAAACATAGATCCAAAACCTAAAGAAAAAAAGAAGGTTCATCCGTTGATGCTTTCTAAAGAAGGCAAACAATGCTCAACTCAACCTATGAAAAGTGATGGCGTATTCAAAAAACCAGCAAACGGTTTCACTGCTTCTAAAAGAAATAATAATACTGTTCCGAGTTTTATACCATCAGGTACAAATGTTGCCATCAAAAATACTATTAAATTGTCCAAGTCAAATATAGCTATTGAAAGTGAGAAAGATACAGTTGATTCAATCAAACAAAAATATGCAGAAGGAAAAAATAAGGGTCAACCAATAAAACCAACTAAAGAAGGGAATAATCTTACTAGAAGCCTCGATTTGTCCAAAAAACTAGCACAAGGCTCAACTGTTTCCAAAGGAAAAAATACTGTTCAACCCCTGAAAACATTCGATGAATTGTTGACTATGAGAGGCAAAAAAAAGTCAGCTAACGCTAATAAACTCGGAGAAATTCCACCAAATCAACCATCGGATATGATATATCATCAGCAATCTTCAGGCTTGAAAGATCATCTTTTAAAAACAACTATGGATCAACCAACCAAATCATCATGCAAAGGACTGGTACAAGGTTCAACTGTTCTCAGAAGAAAAAATACTGTTCAACCCTTGAAAACATTTGATGAGTTGATGAATATCAAAGATAAAGAAAAGCTTCCATCAAAACCACAAATTAAAAAACCATCATCAGATGACCTAAAACTCACCAAACACAAACCAGCAGAGAAACAGCCACAGCCAGCTTTTCACAAGTCATTAGACTCAATCAAAGACGACCTGGTGGCTAAAATAACTAATCAAGATTTCAAAAACTTTGCACATACCAAAAAACTGGTTATGTCCATTGGTGGAAAAACCTCTTCAAATTTTGATAACCTCGATGCAAACGCTAGAAGCATTCTGAAAAAAAATTCAGCCCAAACCAATCCTAATAAGCATCAATTGGAAATGGATCAAGATGGAAAAAAGCGTTTTCACGCTGAAAAGAAAATGGAAACAGGGGTGGCATCATCATAAGAATGGTGCTCGAGCATGCATCATCACTTAGATAATAAGTACCTTCAGTTATTTTTTTCATTAATGTAAATATGTATAATGATAGTTGTTAGTTTAGTCCTGTCTTCCTTAAAAAGGAAAAACTCATACAATTTTGGCACCTAATAGGATATATTAACATGATCCACAAAATGCTACTCAAGTTAATCCTTTGAGAATCATTGGAAAATGGCCAAAAATTGATAGATATTTATGTTAGTTTATTTTTTTATTAGATAATAATAGCATATATGTATTATAGAATAACAATTTTTTTAAAATAATAACTAATAATAGATACGTTTTTTGTTTGTTCTTGTATAGGTATTTATTATTTCGTAACGGGAACCTGAAATAAAACAAATCAGAAATTATCAAAGCATTATTATTATTCATCTCCAACTTACGCATTCCACATCCATTCCTATCCACTTCCCATCGAATCCACAGCTCACACGATACCTGGAACCCTTTCGTTTAAAACCTTCAGGACAGACCAAAATGCATTTGGCACCAACGCTGTTTCTAACAGTTTTCCTTCCAGATTTTGTGAAAGTTCTCAGCGAGTGCTTCCTGGAGCATTTGAAGTAGCCATTTTGCGGTGGAAAAAGTGGTTTGCAGACAACTTCTCTGAAAGCTTCGTCGTTTTGAAGATCAAAAGTTGATGCACATCTATAAGATCCTTCTGTGTTGATGCAACCGTGAGAGCAGATTTTTTGAATGTTTTCTGATTCACATTCGTTGATATCTATAATATCTATTATATGAATGTTACCAAGATTCATATATGTGAAAATCTTACCTTTACAGTTTTTATAATCTGGCCCTAGTTCCATGCCTTCAGGACATGAACAGAAAAATTTTCCAAATGTATTTATACACATATGAGAACAACCAGCGTTTTCTATTAAAAAAATCAAAACAATATATAAACACAATTTTATCTTATAATAATTCCTACCATTTGCACACTCATCAACATCTACACAACTGTGTAAATCATTACTCAGTTTGCTGCCTTTTAAACGGTTACAGCTGCATTTATATCCTCCGTGTGTATTTTCGCAAACATCTTGACATGGTCCATGACCATTCCTGAGAACACATTCATTGATATCCTCACAGGTTCTAGAATCTATGTGATTTAATCTTAAGCCAGATGGACAGTGGCAACGGTGAGAACCAATAGTATTAGTACAATTCATTTGGCAGCCTCCATTGTTGGTAAGACATTCGTTGATATCTTGAAAATATTTGTTTGGGATAAATCCTACACTGAATAAATTACCTACCTACACAACTGTGGCCATCATAAGCCAAAGAAAATCCTTTAAAGCATTGACATTTGGTAATGCCTCGAGTATTGCAAATATGTGCGCAATTTCCATTGGCTTTACTGCACCGAGTTTTTCTTTTTTTCTGAGGCGGTTTTGTAGAAGTGAACATTGATTGATTGGGAATTATTGGCAAAATCAAATTTCTAGATTCAAGTTTCTTTTGGTTTGGTTGTTTATGTTTTCTATGTTTTTTTAATTTTCTTTGCTTCTTTTTGGGTTTTGTGGTGGTTTCATTGAAGATGCTTTTTGTCGGTATTTCAAAGCTTATAGGATTCAGTGTGGTTTGTTCATGTTTTAATACTTTCTTCTTCTTTCTTCGTAAACGTTTTCGCCTTTTTCGTAAAGGTTTATCGGAATCTAAACTTATTGCTGAAGTTACTGGAACTTTCGATTCCAACATAGTCAGCGCCTTATTATCTGAATTTTCACTGAGCTGCTTACATGCATTTTCTGAAAATACATGGAAGATTTAATTATTGACCACCATCCCACATATTATTTAAAAGATGCATTTCTAAATTTAGAAACACATGTGCATTTGAAGCCTTTATTAAGATGATAATTAAATTTTGCCTTAAATAATTTGTAGGAAGTGTTTGGAGTTGAAACTTTTCTTAATTAATCTATATTTCATATAGGTATCTTACCAGATATCAAATAAATTAGTAGCACGAACTGAAAACACAAGACGTTCACCTTTAACTTCATTTTAAACTTGCAGAATTAAATTTACGTCTGACGCGGAAGGCATCTGGAGGAAAATGAAATTTGGTAGTGGAAATTTAAGCTTCTAAAATAATAGTCCATAAACTTAAGATGAGTCAAGTCGGCGTCAATGACTTCCTAATATAATTTTAATAAATTACCTTCAATATATTAAAGGCCTATAGGTTACAGTGAGGAGGCGTGATTAGAGATGAGAAGTTTCTTGATTCTTGGTCTTATTTAAATAAAATCTTTGCATTTTAGTTGTTAGATTTATTCAGACAAAATCAAGTTTTTTGAAATCAGAAGAAATCTCTCATGTCTAGTAGTTTAGTTTGTCTAGATTTGGGATTCAATAAAACACTGATTTATTTTATTAGTTTCGATCTCATGACAAGTATATTTTAGAAACAATTTCTTTACTATAATACTGCCTATATTATGGGTTTTTCCTTATTCAAATATGAATTATTGTTAAAAGTTTTGAACGCACTAAATATAATATTTTCGACGAAACTGCAAGAAGAGCCATTGAAAAATCTACAAGCAAAATGTTATGTGGTAGTTATTAGAAGAAGAAATTGAAAAAAAGGAAGAATTAAAACGAAAATTGATGCTTGAGCACAAGAAGTATAAAAAAGCAAAGATGGAAAAAATTGAGTCGGAAAGGATAACATCAATTTTGGGAGCAAAGTGAGTTTAAAAATCCAATTAGAGGAGGCATTTAATGTATAAGTCTTGCAAAAACCACATTACGGATCTCCCAGACAACACACAAAAGTCTTAAAAACGTCTTTTTTAAGTCTGCATTGCGTCTGAACGTCTGAAGATCAAGAGGACGTCCATAAGATGTCGTAAATTCACATCCTAAAGACAACTAAGCCATACTATTTGGTACAACCGAGTCTAAAAGTGAATAATGGTTTATGTACCTTAAAAAGAGATTCAAAGACATCTTTAAGACATCTCGACGACGTCTTTTTAATGTCTTGGAGAAATGTCATAAAGACGTTTTTAGGCAGACGTCTGAAAGACGTTGTACTTTGTAACATACGACGTCTCGAATGTTGTTTGTGGACATCTTAGGGACGTTTTTAGGATATTATGAAGATCCCAAAAAGAGGACCATAAATTACAGAGATTTGAAAGTGAAAAAGAGGAATTTTCAGAAAAATAGTTTTGGAAATTATTATTTACTTTAATAACAGACTAGAAATAATGAAAGCAGTTTCACAGTTGTTTTAACAGGAGAAAGTATTCAAAATATTATCGATTATTCCACTCATGTGTTAGAAATCCCATAAGACAAGTGACGATTTTCAGAATTACAGCGAAAATTCTCTCTTCCATTTGTTTAACTAGAGAGAATTACAGCGATAATTCTCCCATGTTATTGTATATATGGTTGTCATGCTAATTTTTGATACAAACAAACGGTTCCTGATAGCAACCATTTATTTGTATTGATTATTAAGATGTTCAAATCGTTTAATACATATTTATTTCCATATTTTTTGCATTCTCATACGTGAAATAATCCTCTAAATACCACTTGAGGTTAAAAATGAACCAGATAATTTTTCACTCATGCCTTTTTTCTCTGCAAATTTCACTCGTCCTACGGACTCGTGAAATTATAGAAAACACGCAATCGTGAAAAATTATCGGTAATTTTGAAGCTTTCGTGGTATTATCCCCGATAATCTTTATTCCAAATTGCAAGATTGAAATAAGTGAAATAAATTATACAACTTTCAAAGTTCACGAGTGATAACAAAAAAAATTAAAATTAATCAAATAACAAATAACTTTATCTTAACTAAGTTTAAACTGAAATAATAATTAACGTATAGTTATCGGATTCGCTGCTAAAACCAGCAATAATGGTCATACGTCAAAATCTAATCTAACAATTATACGTACCCTCCTCTAAAGTCATCATTTATCTTTACCTAAGGCGGTGCGAATGGCATAATTATGCAACCGGAAGAGTCACGAGATTCCTGACCCTTATATTATGAACTCATAAATCTAAACACCAAACAACATTGATTACAAGGCTAACTTGTTTAATTGTGTACCCGCGCTGTCGGCGTTTCTTTTAGAAGTAGAATCAGCAGTTGATATATATTAAGATAGTAGAGAAGAATAGTAGAAATTGCCAGTGATTTGATTCTCCTCCAAAAAGTTATTTTCTTTATTTCTGCCTCAGGCCCAAATTAAATTCGCGATTTAATTGACTCTATTGATAAGTTTCGAAGTTAGAAGTAAATTCAAATATTTTATTCGATTTTGTCCGTGCTAAGCAATTGAAACAAAAATACTTTGATAGAGCCAGTGTAGTGAATTTAATGACATTTATTAAAGTAAGTAGGTACATATAAGATAAGATAACTTTTATTTGAATTTAATTGCAATGAATATGAAGGTAAAATGACTAGGTATGGAACATTATTGCCAAATTTAATTGACTTTTGAGTGAAATGACCTTTGAATATTTTTGCTAAGAGTTTAAATAGGAAATTATGTATTCTGCAGTTCGTCATCTAGATCACTAGATTTACGATGTAGTACCGCTACTTTTCGTTGACGTCACAGAGTTTAAAAGATTAGAATCCTGCCGTTCCGTATGACATGACAGCTGACGTCACGTTTCCCGCCTAATTCCTCATTCGTTATTTTCGGTGTAGAAAAACGGCGTCGTTTTTCTGTATTTCAGAAAAATTTTTAGGATTCTTAAAATTTTTTGTACCAAAATGAGAAAAAGGAAACGTGAGAGATCTAGAAGTAGGTCCCCATCTTTAAGGGTATTAGAGAAAATACAGAAGCATCAGCTGGATGCGCTTAAAAAAGGCAATCGAAGTGGCCCCAAACCTAAGAAGAAGACCCGCCACGTGACGACCACTAAAGGGCAAAAGAAGCGTTAACCGAGTGGAACGCCCAGGGATCGCGACTCGAGTAGTCCGAAAAATTCCACAGATTCGAGCTTAGACTCGGATTGCAGTAGCAGTTCGGCATCAGTTCGTAGCACTATAGTTACACGGCAAGGGAGGTGAACGCTGGTTTGAACGATGACATGGGTGAGGAACTTCCTCAAAATATTAAATCTTGCTTGGGAAAAGACCCAAGCCAGCCACAAATGAATATGTTTGACCCATTGGGCTGGATAAAGATACCAAACAGACTCTCCTTGCCAACTATCCATTTCCAAAGGAGGTGAACTTGGCCTCCCCTATTGTCAACCCAGAAATAGTGGCTACATTGGGCCCTGGTAATATAATTAAAGATAAATATATGGTCCAAATTGAAAGTGAAAATGGGAAAGGTTTGGGTACATTATTGTATGCACTCAACAAAATGCTGAATGATGATAAGGATCTTATCCCAAAAGTGCAATACATCCAATTGATTTCTGATGCCGTGAGGCACTACTCTGCATTACAAAACCAGAAAGAAGAGCAGTGCTCAATCTCTCTTTAAATAAAGCGGTTATTGAAGTAACTTCATCAACAGCTGTTGACAAGTTTCTATATGGTGAAGAATTTGGTGAAAAAATCAAGACTGTCAAGGCAGCTGAAAGATCAGCAAAGGACCTAAAGCCTGCACCTATTAAAAAACCGAGGTCGCAGTCTTTAAACTATTTTGGCCCTTCGAGGAAACAGGCACAGGGGTATCCTCGACAATCACGGGGCCGCACCCCATACCAGGTATCTCACCGGAACGACAGGACATCAGACGAGCCAAAGAAGAAGATAAGGTCTAACCCTCGGTTCAACCAGACAACTTATCAAAAGAGAAAGAGCTACTAAATGTTCAGCCTTTGGTAAGTTCAATTAAATCGCTTCCTGTTGTTGGTCGGCTTCCCTATTTTACTCATAAGTGGAAAGCCTTAAACCAGTAATAAATGTGAGAAAATGCAACCAAGCTTTTCCTATACGGAAAAGATTGAGGTACAAAGGGAAATTAAGGCTTTATTAGATTTAGGAGCTATAAAACAATATGTGTGTACACCAAAAATCAATTTATATCACCATATTTTTTTGGTAGATAAATCTAATAGTAAGAAGCGGTTTGTAGGTACTATACTCAAAGAAATTAAATGGATTTCTAAATCCACCTCATTTTAAAATGGAGGATGGAAGGACAGTAACAAAATTATTGCAACCCGACTATTATATCACTAAAATAGATTTGGAAGACGCATTTTACTGTCGCAGTTCATCCGGAGTTTCGAAAATATTTAAGATTTAATTTTAATAATTCCAAGTTCTCCCCTTCGGCATTTCTTTTGCACCATATTTGTTTACCAAAATAATTAGACCAGTCTTAGCTTTCTTTAGAAACAGAGGTATTTCGTGTGTTGCTTAAATTGATGACTAGCTGCTAATTCATGAGAGTCGTTCTTTAGCAGTTAAAAACACATATTTTGTGGTAGAAATATTGCAATCTCTAGGTTTTTCAATTAATTTTAAGAAATGTTCCTTGGAACCCAAAACAAAGTGTATGTTTTTAGGTGTCATTTACGATACAACAAATATGATGCTCAAAATTCCACCTGAAAAATGTAGGAAAATTCAAGATTCCTTACATAAACTAAAGAACCAGTCTTCTAAATGTAAAATAAGGTATCTAGTTCACATAGCTGGCCTTTTAGTGTCACCATAGAGAGGGAGATAATTTAGCACTAGAAAAATATCAGGGCAACTATGAAAGGACAGTAACAATCTCAAATTTGCTTAAAACAGAAGTACATTGATTGGTGGCTAACAAACCTTTCAACAATCATATAACAGTAAGTCCACCAGCAATTGAGATTTTTACTGATGTCAGTAAAGCAGGTTGGCGGCGCGTATGTGACAAAAGAGAGGCACATGGGTGGTGGAGTAGTCAAGAAACCCAGTTACACATAAATAATTTGGAACTTAAAGCCATTTATTTTGCTCTCAGGTGCCTAGCTAGTGAGTATCATTCTATCACTATACAGTTAAGAGTAGATAACACTACAGCCATGGCATATATCAATAAGATGGGAAGTGTAAAATACCCATCTCTTAATACAATAGCAAAAGAAATATGGCAATGGGCTGAAGTTCGAAATATTTGGCTTGTTGCCTCTTATGTTCAATCAAAAAATAACATTGCAGATAAGAACTCTAGAATTGTATCAGAGGAAACTGAATGGGAACTTTCTAATATAACTTTCGAAAAAGTTATCTCGGAGTTTGGTAAACCAGAAATTGATCTGTTTGCATCTAGGGCAAATAAAAAATGTTGTAGATATGTGTCTTCGCACAGTGACCCTGACTCTGAGGCAATAAATGCCTTTTCAGTGTCTTGGAAGGGTTTGAAGTTTTATGCTTTTCCTCCCTTTGCTCTCATCTCGAAGATACTAAATAAAATTGAACAAGATAAGGCAGAGGGTGTGGTAGTTCTACCAGATTGGAGCTCACAAGCCTGGTACCCATTTTATAAAAAGCTTCTTGTAGGAAAACCTCTAAAACTACTTCAACCACATCCTAATCTTTTGTCTTCACCTTCCAGATCACAACATCTACTAGCAAACACACTTACCCTGGTAGTAGCCAATTTATCAGGACAGCGTTCAACATAAACAACGCAATTCCAAGGGATTCTGCACAGACCTGTCTGGAGTCGCTCAACCCTAACACCATTAAACAATATCATTCAATATATAAAGAATGGTGGAAATTCTGTGGAGACTCTGTGGACCCATACACCGCTGGAGTACCAGAGGTAGTGAAATTTTTACAATCCATGGTGAACTCCAAAACCTGGAAGTATGGGTCATTTAATTCGGCAAGATCTGCACTTTCACTGGTATTGCCCGGTGCTGTTGGAAGCAACAGGTATTAGGAGATTTATGAAAGCAATATCCAGACTGAGACCAGGCAAACCCAAGTATAATGCCACCTGGGATACAAGATAGGTACTAAACTATTTAGGAGCTAAGTATCCCAATGATACTTTAAGCTTACGAGAGCTTGGAGGAAAGTTGGTAACGCTTCTAACCTTGGCAACAGGACAAAGGCTACAAACCATCTCCCTGATTTGAATAAACAATATTGAAATCACACTGGAAGGACTACAGTTGCTTATTCCTGACAGAATTAAAACCTCCAAAGTCTGGGATGAACCAACCATAACTATTTTTACCATTCTTCAAGGAAAAGCCTGAAATCTGTGTGGCATGTGCCTTATTATGTTACATGGAAAGAACTGGCAGCTTAAGAAATGAATCGCTAGAATTTCTTTTCATATCAGATAGACAGCCAAAACAGTTAACAAAGCAAACTTTGGCGAGATGGGTTAAAGTGATTATGGCTAAATCACGAATAAATACAACAGTGTTCAAGCCCCATTCGACAAGGCACGCCTTAACTTCAAAGGCATGGCAGCTGGGCATATCTTTAGATCAAATTAGAAAATCAGCAGAATGGTCACAGCAATCAAAGACTTTTGTTAACTTTCATAATCGACCAATAAAAGATAATTTCGCATTCGCGAATGCTGTTTTAGCAAGTTAATTTAAAGAAAACGTTAATTAGACCCTTGTTTCTTTTGGTAGTTATCAGTAATAAAATGTTGAACGGAATTATTTTATTTTAAATTTCGTTTCACAAAGAATAATGTACAGTACGTCACCGAGCTTTAAAAAACTACAACGTAAATCTAGTGATCCAGAGGACGAAGTGCAGAACACATAATTGCACAATCAAACAATACTTTAGTGTTGTTCGATTGAGATTATGTGTTACCTATATACTTCGAAGAGATCACAGCCCTCTTCTCCCAAAGTTAATATACTTTCATGGAAGTATGAACCCGATAGAAGTTCACTCAAAGTCTGAATTAAGTTGACTCACTGAGTTACCTTTCAGCTCCTCAGTGACCTTACTGTTAGAAGTAAGATATTGCGAATAGCTGGATCGCTATTCGCTACCTTTAAACTATGAGGAACTAGGCGGGAAACGTCACGTCACCTGTCATGTCATTAGGGGTTCTAGTAGCTGATTAATAGTAGATTATACCACGAGTCAATAATGATAGCTATTATTCCCGAGGAATATTTACGAACGAGGGAGTAACATTCCGAGGGAATAATAGCCATTATTGCGAGTAGTATACTCTACTTTATTTACGAAAAATTAATTTATTTGAAATTTCCTTTCCAAAAACGCTCTTTGTTCATCTATCTCAATACAAATACACAAGCACTAAGTACGCGTTTGACACTGACACTTTTGAGTTTGTTCAGGTACCTATATTGTTTCCATGGTAGAACTACTTATTTAATTTGAGAAATTTTGTGATTGGTGTGCAAGCGGGAATAATGACCATTATAATCCCTGCGGGAATAATATATGACTTTATTCTGCCAAAATCACAAATATAATACTTAAATTATAAGTTGGTCGTAAATAAAAGAATTTAAATAAATTGTGTAATGTTGACCTAGAATTTGAAAAATAATATTATTCTGGTTAAGTATATGATCTTCAGGGGTTTTAAAATTTATAATTAAAGGTAATGGTAGTTTTTTTTATAATCGTATCAATTCATTCAGTATTGTGTAGAAGAGTAAATGATTTTAGTTATAAGATATTGAGAGTATCGAAATTAGGGCTTTATGAAAAGAATAATTCAAGTTCCGAAAAATAAAGGAAGAATCTTGTAGGATGTTGAAGATTGAAAAGTGTTGTAGTAAAATGGCTGTGAGACTTTGGCAAAATATTAGTTTTATTAGGTACTTTGTCCTGGCAATTGGGTTTTGATTATTTAAGTAAAATAAAGTATACTTGTGTAAACCTTACTACAGTTGTTTCTCTCATTTGCGAATAGACCCCCGCCACAATTTCATTAGTAGCTGCCCAAGGAAATAAACTGCTCGCCATTTACCATCTAACTAATTAAAAGAGTACTTGGGCGGACAGCTACAATGTCTACAAAAACTTCCCACAAAATTCGTTTCTCATTCAATTTAGAAACTAGGCTCTTGATTTGTTTTTTTAATTTTTATTCCTGGCTCTTCTTATGTTCTCCTTCCAAAATGTATTTTGTGTATGTTTTCGTTTAAAAGAAATCAAGAATTTAAGAGACTAGCGTTTGGATTAGACAAAAATTGAAAGTTATAAAATGAGTAATGCTCGTATTACATCTGTGTATTTCTCCGTGTATTTATTCATGTAGTTCAGGGTGACAACCAAAATAGTTATTTACATTATAAGTGCGTTTATGAGCATGATTACAATAACGAGTGTGAAGGATTAATCACACGAGTTTTGTAGTCATGTTTAAACGAACGTGTGATGTACAACGTTTTATCTACAAAGCGAAAAATAAGAATATTTTTCCAATTATTTTCGTTCATTAATAGTTGTCTACCTTCATTTTACCTTTACAGGTTTACCTTTGACATTTGTCAAATCACCAAAAATAGTTGTGTTATAGATTCATAACCTCGTCCATAACACCACTAGTTATGTTATGAATAATTCATAACCTAGTCTATAACACCACTAATTGTGTTATGAGTCTCATGACGTAACTCAAATACTAGAAAAATATGGTTATGTAAAAACTTCATAACCAAACGCTTATAGATAAAACTTCAAACGCAACATATATCGGCATTATGAAAAACAAAATAATGTTGGTACCCTGAACTACATAATAATAAAATATTAGTCCTGAATACGTGTTTAGGCTGAAAGACGTTGGGTTTCATAACATACGATGTCTTTAAGATGTTTTTAAGACGCCTTGAAGACGTCTAAAAGTGAGTGTCGTTTGTGGACATTTCAGGAGCGTCTTCAAGATGTCTCTGTATTGTCTGGGTAATGGAAGAAAAACATCAAAAAATTAGAGGAACAAAAGATTCGAAACTTAACTCGTATAAATTCACATACAAACCAAGTCTAACAACCTGTAAAACTTAGCTACATACAAAGCTGAGAAATTTGGAGTGTAGGTATCCAAAATTCATCGAATAAGTAAGTATGGACCTAAACTGATGTTGAATACCTAGGTAGGTACTTAAAAAATAGACAAATAACTGTAGGTATATTCACAAAAACTCTTTTAAAAAATAAAGACAAATTTGACTGAACAACTGGCAAAAGAACTAAAATAGTAGGTAATCGACGATATTTATTTTCGAAAAAAACCTGAAAATAATTGGATACCAAAAGAAATAATTATATACATTTTTGGATAATTAAGTATTTTGAAAAAAAATAGCCAATCAAACAAAAAAGCAGGTCCACATCGCTATCAAATAAATTGTATGATATTTATCCCTCATTATTCAAAAACAAAACTTGAAAATTACCATTCAATCAATTAGTAAAAAAATGTATTTTTTTTATCATATTTTTATGGCTAACGAGCAGGGCTAGCTAAAAAGTTGACGATAGCCAATAGGACCCGGGTTTTTTAATATGTTTTTCCCTATAATTGACAAACAATTATCGGTTTTTTATCAATATAATAAGTAGCTAAGTGTTTTTTAGAAGTTAGTTTATTGTTTTTTTTTTAATAGTTTCGCAGTCTGAGTCACATAGAATTCAGTCACAGATACCTACAGCCTACAGACTTCCTTCTATAATATAGAGTTGAAGTTTTTTTAGTTTAGCTCAAAAGAATAAAATAATATCATCATGAAATCGGTCAGATTTTGTTTGTGTTTTATTTTTGTAGTATTTTTGTCCAATTATCATACAGCTGGTAAGTATAACAAATGTTTTTAACTGATTTAAGAAACCTACAAACCTTCTTTTTTATTCAGTTATCTATCATTGGTTTTTGTTTCTGAACTTTTTCATTTGGTTTCTTGTATAGAACATTCGTAATAACGATTCCATAAATAATACTACGTCATCACATACAAATTCACTTCATATTATGATAAATTGGCTTGTTTGATGAAATGCTATTTTGATGAAAGTTAGAAACTGTAAAATAAATGCTAAGTTTCAGTTGAGTATCATAATCATTCAAATTCTGCAATAATTATATTTCAATAAAAACGGTTTCACCCAAAGTTTAACTTAAATTTTCTATTGTTTCAGATGCAGGTGTTGCAGGTAAGAATTTTCAAAGAACAATCATGGTCTTCTCGTTAATCACTTTTTATAATTATTACGAAATTAATTTCCAGGTTCCATCGCAGCAGTAGTATCATTACCGGTTTCTCTCCCACTAAAAATAGCAACTCTCCCAATAAAAATAGCAACTCTCCCATTAACACTAGCCATGAAACTGCCAACTTTAATAATTAAAGAGGTTATCGTTTTAATGAGTAAACTCGTGAAAATAATTGCCACAATTGAAACTAACGGTTTCACAGATATAACCCATTTAGTCAAAGCAATAGTTTCAATGATCGAAGAAATTGTTACGTCAATTGTAAATGGATTAGTGTCGATTGGCGTGTTCCAGGGTAAATCAGCAGAAGAAATAATCAATTTCATTATGACTGTTGTTAAAAGTATATTCGCCTTCTTGGGTAATACCGAAATGGCGCTCAGTTCTGATGCTGTAAATACATTTTTGGGAATTTTGAAAGCCTTGAAAATAAAAGACATTTTGAATTTGCCTGGCATAAGTCTGGTTAAAAAGGAATTGGTAAACATTTTCATGAAATTGAAGAGTTTATATGGCAAAAAGGCAGGCATGATTATGAATTTAGTGATGAGCCAAATTGATAAGCACAGAGACTTTTTCCAACCGATTTTCAATGCTGTTTCGAGCAGAGTACTGATTGTGGTCAATGCCATGCAAGGTTTATTAACTGGCGATCTTAGTTCTTGTCCTGGAAGTACTCTAGCCTCCAAATCTCCAGTAAATAGTCTCATGTGGCAATTGAACGTTTGGTTTGACAAATCTACTCTAATACTATTTAAAGTTATGGGATTGACTGCTATGGCTGAAAAGGCACAAATGAAACTGGATGAAGGTTAGTATAAGGGTCTTATAATTGAAAAATACTTTATATTTGATGTGTCCTCTTTTTTTTTTAGAAATGGCTAAAATGAATCCGGCCTCATAGGTAAACTTAATAATGTTTTACATCGGTATAAGTTTAATTAAATGTATTTATTCTAGGGCGATAAAGCAGCAAAGCAAGCGAGGCTTCATCAATTTTGGATTTTCAAATTATTCAATTTGTTATGGTTGATTAAAATAAAATCTCAAGATTGACCATCACATTTTTGTATTTTTGATCACACCATTGGGTTAGAAATTGATAAAATTACTTGAAATTTCCCTCTTTTTCGGGACCAATAGCAAAGTTTACCAACAGGTAACGCTTTTTATACGAAATATCGAGGATAGGTGATCTTGTTGGAAAAGCGTTTTTTTTTTCCAGTAATGGATATAATTGTTTCTATTTTATGTTTTAAGTCGACTTTTAATGTGTCTTATGGCATTCATTATTAATTCTGTATCTATGAGATGCATCCATCTGATTATGTTTGAGAACTTTGATAGCAATTTTCTCCAAAAATTATTCTTATTGATTTATTGGTCTGGACAGAAGATGTCGTGTAGTAGGTATTTTCTTCTGAGACATTCATTGTAGAACGCTCTAAATTCTTGATGGGTGGGGCGTATATTGCGATACACTTTCCATGTGTATAACATCCATCATAGCAAAATATTAAACATTGATGTTAAACATGCGAGTTTTGTCCTGTTTCTGGTTGGAAGAGTTCCCAACCTTTGGATTATTAGCAAAGCCACATCGCTATGGGTACCTATTTGATTCCCATGGTGTTTCTATGCCACTCGTTCTTTGAACCTCTGTTTTTGATGTGTATAGGATATAGATTTGTGTTGATTTCTATTGAAATTTTGCTGATTTTGTGTAGATCATCTACAGACTCTCTGGTTTTAGTTTACTGTTTGTTATGCACCATATCCAGAACAATCTTGAAAAATGCGGTGATAAATCTTTATTAACTTTACGTCTTGTGATGGAAATTTGTCTCTTTAATTAGTACTTTTTTGGAGGATTCAACAAAGCTAGCTTGATTGTATAAATTGTTTGTTCATGCATGCATCCGTTTTCCAACGTCCGATGTCCGAAAAACCTTCTATTCTGGCATTTTTTTATACATATGTCAAAATATAAGTTTTTTCCGACATCGGACGTCGGAAAACGGATGCATGAGACTCCGGCTGTTTTTTAATTGTTTGGGTCACACCCCCTCTAAGAGGAAATGAGGGAAAATTGGTAAACAAATAAACACAAAAGTAATTTGTTTCTATTTCAAGCTCTCGAATTTTCTAAATAAGAAATTTAGGAGAAAACGAAAATTCAAGAGCCGGGAATAGATAAAAATTGAGACGGGAAAATTGAAATATAGAGTAGAAATTTAAGAAAAATTGTAAATCGACCTTATTTATCACCTCAAAAATGACAAAAAGAGTCAAGTGTCATTTTCAAATCAAATATGCCGCCGCAAAATACATTCGACAATTGACACTGACAAAACCTGTCTGACCCAAGTTTTTCAGAAAAAACTTGTTGTTAAGGGCCAGTTTCTCAATAGCGAGTCACCCCCGGGTTAAGCATAACTCCCGGATAAACATAACAACTGGACACGCTTACCCTGGAGTTAAAACCAGGGACCCGGACCGGAACGATATTGAACCGAAAGCCGGAACGGAACCGTTTTTTTTTGCAGACCAGAACCGGAACGAAACCCATATTTTATAGAAATGTTGTAGGGCAGGCAGAACCGGAATCGATATAATCGGTTTCTACCGGTATTTTTCGGTTCCAAGATTTTAAAAATTAAGCTGTTTATTGTGTAATGACCCGGGAAAATAGACCCGTAATTTACAATGTCTTAACTGTAAAAATTAAATGTAATCAAATAATCAAAAACTGAATTTCCTGTATTTCAAATCAGTACCTATCAATAAACTGAAAATGAAATAAATTAGCGTTGACCCCGTTACGTTAAAATTTTATTATTTAGTCACCAAGCGTGATGTCATCACCTAAATCAAATTCATAAAAATATTAAAAGCGAGGCCAAAGTAATTAAATAGGTGATTTATGGCCGCACGTGTTTTTCGGCTTTCTCTGTGTTGTCCTCACATTCCTAAACCAAATCTGTTGACCCCGATAAACCAGAAAATTGCGACATAATTATTGGATTTTAAACAAATAAAAAAGGAAGGTTAATGAATGATGGACAAAGAAATTTTAGGGGGATCGAATAATATAAATACAGCGGTTTTAGAAGAACCCGTTCAGTTTAAGTTCAGTCCAGTTTGAGTTAAATCTACAGTACCTAATGAGTCAGTCCGGTTAAAATTCGCAAAGAGTTTCTTTTATTTTGTTTCCTCGGGAAAACGCGTTAAGTCTTTGAAAAGTAACGGAAAATTGTAAAGACCATTTAAATTCGTTCAACATTATGTGCGAGCTCTAAAGATTTTTGAAGTAAATTGATTATAAGTAATTTTACGACTGAAAAGTTAAATGTAAGTACTCTAGTGACTAGTAAAACATTTTGACTTTATAAATGATGAATGATAAGAAGTGAATTGACATTGAACTTTAATGCATAAAGACTTGACTGATTTGACTGTAAAAACTTTATTGCATAACTTTAATTGCCTTCGAGTATAATGACATTTTAATTAATTTTGCAAAGAATAAACAAAGGAAAATTATAATGCTCTTAACTTAAAATTCGATTTTGAGTAGGAATTTTTAAAGAATGTTGAATTGGATTGTCCAATTGAAGTTTAAGGGCTATAGTAACGAACTAATAAGAATTTAAATAATTGTGTTTGTTGGCTAGGAATCCGAAAATAGTAATTGTTCTATTCAAAATGATCCAAGTGAAGGATGGGAACCACCACATGTATTGGAAAGTTTTGTTTGAAAATTGTTGTTCATGAAGTACAATTGATGACCAAGTGCTGAAATTGTGAATTAGGGTTTTTCATTTAGAAATTATTGTAAGGTTTTTATAAAAATATAGTTGGTAATACATATAAACTTAATCCACTGGGTAGGATTATGACTTAAATAATTATTTTGCATAAGTTGTCAGTAAATGACTTAGGAGTTTTGAGAATTTATAGATATAGGTGAAGGCAGTGTTGCCAATGGCCCGATAATTATCGAATTCTACCATAATTTTGACTACGATTCAAGGTTGTTGTTGGTTTTGAGTGTTTTGATCTACTGGTGCCACCACCAAAGTCCCAGAGTCCCAGCTAGAACCAGAAAAATAAAAGTCAAAAAAGTTGACAGGAACTTTTTCTGATAATTTTTCTTGGAATCTGATAATTTTGTTCTCAAATCCTGATAATTTTAAATTTGACATCTGGCAACACTGGGTGAAGGGTAGTTCTAATAGGAATGTGAATCGGAAGTGTTGTTTAAAAGAGTAAATGTATAAACTTAAGAGTTATTGAGAATCGAAGAAGTAGGGCGTTATAGTATGAATAATTCCTGGTCCGTAGTAATGAAATTTGAACGGATGTGAAATAAATTGATTTGGGAAAAATAGAAGTGGCTGTCAGATATAGAAAGATATTTGCTTTATTTTAATTTTTGGTTTTAAGTCTAATAAAATATAATTTAGTAAACCTCAATAGTTTGTTTCTCTCTTTTGCGAATAGAAACCCTCCACAATTTTATAGGTAGCCGCTCAAGGAAATAAACACCATCAATATACCGCTCGCCGTTTACCATCTAACTAATTAAAAAGAGTAGGTACTTGGGCGCGTTTTGCTACAATAGTGTTGCATATTGCATAATGCATATTGCCTTTGCCAGCGAGGTGCGAGAATAACTCAACTATAAAGCTGGCTTCCCACGGCCTGTAATATCACAACCTGGGACGCGCTTACACGGGCCAACGCTTTTTCAAGCACTTTCAAGGCAATTACTGCCTAGCTCTGCATAGGATTGAATTCATACTAACCTGGAAAGGTTGAGGGGATAGTCAGAAACAGGATAATACCAGTGGCGTACACTCGATCCGATCGACCTACGATTGGAGAACCATACGAAAATATACAAAACGGCAGGATTATGATTATTCAAAAACTGTACATACGATTGAATTCATACTTACAAGGAAAGGTTGAGGGGTTAGTCAGAAATAGGAAAATATCAGTGGCGTACGATCGATCGACCTACGTATGGAGAACCATACGAAAATAAATGATTATTCAAAAACTGTACATAGGATTGAATTCATACTAACATGGAAAGGTTGAGGGGTTAGTCAAAAACAGGAAAATACCAGTGGTGTACACTCGATCGACCTACGAATGGACCCAAGTTTTTCAGAAAAAACTTGTTGTTAATAAGCCAGACTCACATTGGGCAAATTTAAAAAATACTTGCCTGTACCCTTAGGGCCGGTTTCTCAATAGCGGAGTCACTTGCGGGTTGGTTTTAACTCCAGGGTAAGCGTGTCCAGTTGCTATGTATACCCTGCGAGTTATGCCTAACCCGGGGGTGAGTTACTATATTGAGAATCTGGCCCTTAGAGCAGGTAAAACGCTGTCCTACGGACGTAAGAGGCGATTTTCAGCCTGGAATGATTATTTATCGGTAAATACCGTGGTTATTCTTTTGCTTGACAACTTTGACAGCCAAGTGTGACGTCATAGCCGGCCCCCACCATTCAAGAATCATAACCCAAGGAACTGACCGCTGAAATGATTTGGTTATAGCAGTGTAGGGTTATGTTTATTATTCTTATTTCTTTTTTCGTTTCAACAATAGTTTTTTGTTTAGGTACAAAAAATGGCGCTGAATCTCTCGTTAGTCTCGTTTATCGAACAGATTTTTTTTGGGGATGATCTAAACATGGTGAATTGCAGTGAGTGAGTGAATGTATACTTCTTTCATTGTGCCAGGCTACAACGCAACTGCAAAACCACAAAACATCAATACAAATCCAAAAATAATAACAATAACATCAAAAAGCTGTAACCAAAAAATAAACCCAAGTCCAAAGCTGGGTTATAATCGGTTATAAGTGGTAAATACCAAAAGCAAATCTGATATGTGACGTCACAACTTCCCCTACTTTGGTTAAAACCGCGATGGCGGAAATGCATTGGTTATAACCAATTAATAATCATTCCAGGCTGAAAATCGCCTAAGGAGTAGGAACGTGCCAATCTGCTATGAAACTAAGGGCCGATAATAAGGGTATTATAAAACACTGAACCGATGGTTGAGATTCAACTTTCGGTTGAATCCTACCAATTTGCATGGAGTCAACCGAAGCTTGAAACTCAACCATCGGTAAAGTGTTTTTCATACAGCCGTGCGGAAAAATCGATTTTCCGCACTGATATGCGTGCGGAAAATGAGTTTTCCCGCACGGTGCGGTAAAACTTTTACCGCACGCATATTAGTGCGGAAAAAGTTTTTCCGCACGGCTGTCAGTGCGGATAAAATTTTACCGCAAGGCTGTCAAAAAAAAAGAAAAAATTCTACATTTACGCCTGTAGGAAAAATATTGTACCTAACACATGCGGAAAATTCATTTTCCGCACTTGTTAGGTAAATAGCTATTATAATACCGGCCATAGTGAAACCCAGTTTTTGGCAGGTGTTTGGGTGTTTGGCACCAAAAATAGGTAAAGCATTGAAATTGTCTATACCACTATACGGCCATTTTTTGGTGACAAAATACCTGGAAAAAAACGGCTTTATTTTTCAACTCCATGTTACTACTCCTACTCCTTTACCTTTACTTGCTCTAAGCCTGTACCAGTTTTATGATTGGCCAAAGCTGCTTTCCAGTGCCTAAGGGCCAAATTACAGTATATCTGCATCTGCAAATTTGCAGTTCTGCAAATATGGCCGCCTTGCAAATGTGCTCTATTTGCAGAAACAAGCAAATTACAGAAAAAAATCTGCAATTTCGTCATATTTATCGGAAAAAGTGTTTGGGCGCTGCTGATTTACCATATTCAAATGCCAAAGTTGTCAAAGTGATTGCATGAACTTGCGGGACCGATTCACCATGCGCAAATTTGCAGGTGACTTGCAAATGCGTTCTGCTTCTGATACGAAAAGTCGGACTTGCAGGTCCTGCATTTATATCTTGGTGTTGCAGAGCTTCTGTAATTCGGGGCTAAATTGTTCGAGTATCATGCTCCTAGAGTGTGACGCTCTTGAACTGTTCGACATAAGCAGCAATAGTTGTATTCCTTTCACGCTTAGGAGGAGCTCCGGACCTCCGGGGCTTCACGCGCTTATTCCTTTCGAAAAGTGTTTGTTGCACCACGCATATGTTCCCTGCAAATCGGGGGCGACTAAGCACCGAAGCGAGTAGCTCGAGTGTTTCAAGCTCTTGAAAGGAATACAACTATTGGAACGCTCTCGTCTTAACCCCCACCATTTCGGACTTCAGGAGCATGGAACACCGAAATTAAGGTTGGTGTACGAGGGGGCAGGGGATAACAGAAATGAGTAGTTCAAGTGTACGATATTCTAAGCACTGGAAGGCGCAAAGAAATTGTGGAGCACTCCTGAGCTGCACAGGAGTAACTCAAATGGGTCACTGGAAAGCACCTCTGAGCTGCTTTCCAGTGCCTAAATTGTTAGAGTATCATGCTCCTGAAGTGTGACGCTCTTGAACTGTTCGACATAGGCAGCACTGGAACGCTCTCGTCTTAACCCCCATCATTTTGCTCTTCAGGAGCATGGAACACCAAAATAAAGGTTGGTGCACGAGGGGGCAGGGATAACAGAAATGAGTAGTTGTGTACGACACTCTAAGGCCCAGTTGTACAATCTCGGTTCAAAACAAAGTTCAACTGAACTAGACTGGTACTTGAGCTTTCCTATTTAAAATACATTGCTGTCAGCTATTAATCAAATTCTATCATTTTTGACAGCAATGCATTTTAAATGGGGAAGTTCAAGTATCAGTCGAGTTCAGCTGAACTCTGTTTTGAACCAAGATTGTACAACTGGGCCTAAGCACTGGAACGCGCAAAGCAATTGTGGAGCACTCCTGAGCTGCTCAGGAGTAACTCAAATGGGTCACTGGAAAGCACCTCTGCTCTGGTGTACCGTGTTACGTATCGAAAAATTGAAAATTAGAATCGGATTCTGACAATTCGATACTAATTTCGATTCGACTCGTAACATCATATCGATATCGACTATCGACGAATATCGATAAAACTCTTCTCAACAAAATTGTCTAATCCGCACTGTTGTCAAATGCTAGTTTGAAATTAAAAGATCATTATTGGGATCAGAAGATCCTATTTCAAGCCCACTGCTCCGGCTCAGACTAAACTCAGAAAATCAACCAGAAATAATTTTCTAGCTTTTTTGGAAACTATTCTAGTTTTAAGCCTAGTACTCATAACTGCGAATTTCGCATTTTTTTGACAATGCGTTGACAATCTGACGTTTTATGCGTGTATCAAACGTCAAATTGTCAACGAAATGTCAAAAAAATGCGAATTTCGCAGTTATGAGTACTAGGCTTTAGCCGATAAGCTAATACTAAAAGACATTTATCAACCAATAGATGGCGCCACAGACGCTTTTCTGGAAACCCCAAATGTTGACGCATGACGTATTCCCAAGAAGTGAAGTGTCAAAAAGTTAAAAATAACAAATTATTTATATAAAAAAGGAAATTTCCAAAAAGATGGCGAAAAAGACCTACGATTTGCTCTTCAAATTACTGTTGATCGGCGATTCCGGCGTTGGAAAAACTTGCATCTTATTCAGGTTCAGCGATGATGCATTCACTACCACCTTTATTTCCACTATTGGTAAGACCAAGACTTTTTCTGGATTTTCTTTGTATCTTTCGTCCCCTCCTTTCAAGGATGGTATAATTATCTTTAAGTGAATCAATTTATTGAGATGGGCGGATTATTATTGCCTATTGAGCACTCATTAGCGCATACAAAGAGTATCCAATTAAAATTCATATATGAAAAAAATTGAATGGACTATGCCTTCTAAGTACAAAGTTTTCTTTTAAAACGCCTTTCTCAGTTAACTAGTTTGAATAATTCAAAAGTTTGAGAGAAAATTGTACTCTTCCTTCCATCCTACCCTTAGTTAGTACCTACTTACCTATGTAAATATGGTATTATTCTTCATTTATTTCTTTATAATATCTATTAGCAATTTGTAATTCCTTTTACAGGAATAGATTTCAAAATCAAAACAATAGAATTGAGAGGCAAAAAGATCAAACTCCAAATATGGGACACAGCCGGACAAGAAAGATTCCACACAATCACAACTTCTTATTATCGTGGGGCGATGGGCATAATGTTGGTCTACGATATAAACAATGAGAAAAGTTTCGAGAATATAGTGAAGTGGCTCCGAAATATAGACGAGGTAAATTGAAACTTCATTCACTTAGAATTGAATACAAATTGCAATTTTTTCCAGCATGCGAATGAAGATGTTGAAAAAATGATATTAGGCAACAAATGCGATATGGACGACAAACGGACAGTCAGTAAAGAAAGAGGAGAAACAGTAAGTTTACCCTAATAAATTAGTTTAATTTATAATATATTTATATCCAATTTCTCAAATCAGATAGCTAGGGAGCACAGCATTAGATTTATGGAAACTTCTGCTAAAGCCAACATTAACATTGAGAGAGCCTTCAGGGAGCTGGCTGAAGCCATTCTAGACAAAACTGCTGGCAGAGAACCAGGAGGGGATGGCAATATGGATAGGGTGTTGGTGGACAAGAAACCAATGACAAACACAACAAAGTCGTGCTGTAATAATTAGATTGTTAAGTTATTTTTTTTTTTGTTTCAATTATTATTATTATTGATATATTGTAAGAAGTAATTGCTTGAATTCCAAAGAATTCCATTTCATAGTTGGGCTGACTTTATTGAAATTTGATGTGACAGAATGCAAGTCAAAAATTAGTTACGCTTAAAACAATCTGTTCAAATTATGTTTTTTTGTCAATATATTTCTGTGAATTGTAACCTATTGCTTTGCCCGTGACCAGTGGCTTTATTGTCGAAAGTTTTGTTAGTTAATTTCTGTATATTATTTTGACTATTAAAGTTTTTTCTAAGTCAGTTTAACTTGTTGCTACAACCTCAAACGCCCAAACCTAACTTGTGCGCGTTCACATTGACACTGCTCGAGCAGTGAGTGTTGCGCGATGCCACTGTAGTGATGCCCAAAAATAATTTTAACATATTTCAAATGAACATGTTTACACTGGATCGGTGCGTCGCGTAGTGTTAACATGTTTATTTGAAATATAATGTTAAAATTATTTTTGGGCATCGCGCAACACTCACCGCTCGAGCAGTGTCAATGAGAATGCGCACTTAGTTGAAATGTTTGTGAATTTTTTTGGAGATTTATCTTTTCCATATTACAGCTGATGAGTTATCAGTTTCGAAACAGAAATGAAATGCATAAAAAAAATTTAATTGCCTATAATTATTTTAAAGCAGTTACAAATCAAGGAGAAATTAGCATAAATATAATCTCATAAATTTTCTAATATTTGCACATAAAATTTTTTGATAATAATTATTTTTAGAACCCGTCATTGACTTATGAGGTAATTGGTGCCTATATCACAAATTGAGCAACACATTTTTTTTTTGTACTTGTTTCAAAATTATCTTGTATTATCAACTTTAATAAAATGACACAAAGCTTAAACTGAGCTGAATGCATTTTCCAAATCGACAATGAGATCCTCTACATCCTCCAAACCAACTGACAATCTTATTAAAGTATCGGAAATTCCTAAAACTGCTCTTTGTTCTGGTGGAACCGAAGCATGAGTCATAACAGATCTAAAAAAAAATTAATTCGTTATAAATTTATATAATTAGTTGATAGCTAACTTACGGTAATTCTGCCAAACTCTCATACCCTCCCAAACTTTCAGCCAGAGTAAATATTTTCAAAGTTTGCAAGAATTTTTTGGAACTTTCTATATTTCCTTTGAGGTAAAACGAAAATGTGCCGCTATGGCCGCTAGTTTGTTTTTTAAATAATTCATATTGAGGATGAGATGGAAGACCTTAAAACGAAATCATGTGAGTTTGTTTAAAGAATATTTTGTAATAGTATTTACCAGGATGGAGAACTTTTTCAACTTTCGGATGATTTTCCAAATATTTGGCTACAACTAAAGCATTTTCCTTATGCTTTTCCATTCTCAAAGCTAAAGTTTTCAAACCTCTATTAACTTGGTAACAGTCAAAGGGACTTGGAACAATTCCCATTGCTAAAAAATTGGTTCATCAAAAATTAACCATAATTGTTATTTATTTCTTACAATTTTGTAAAAATTTCAATTTCTCAAATAAATCTGAGTTGGATGTTACCAATGCTCCCATAACAACATCACTGTGTCCGTTCATGTATTTTGTTAAAGAATAGCAGACGATGTCTGCGCCAAAATCTAGAGGCCTCAATAAGTAAGAGGTTAAAAACGTATTGTCTACAACCACAATTAAATTGTGGCTTTTGGCAATTTCGGCTACTGCTTTTAGGTCGAATACTTGCATTGTGGGGTTTGTAGGAGTCTCAAACCAAACAAGCTTTAAAAAGGAAAATTGTTAATGACAATATAAAGAGCTTGTCTTTGAAATACTCACTTTTGTATTACTTTTGATTGATTTTTTAAAGGTTTCTAGATCAGTAAAATCTACTAGAGTAATTTCGATTCCGAATCTGGTTGCTACTTTATTGAAAAGACGATTGGTTCCTCCATAAATATCACTACCACTAAAAAATAATTAATTTAATGTTGTTAGCGTTCATAAGAAAAATGTGTTTGAAATTTACCTTATTATATGATCTCCAGAACTTAGCATGCTGAAAAGAGCTGTGGTTGCACCCAAACCGGACGAAAATGTCAAACCGTATTTGCCATTGTCTAATTTGGCTAAAACATTTTCCAAAACTTCTCTGGTTGGATTTCCAGATCTGCTGTATTCATATTTCTGAAAAAAAATTGTTACAGTTAGACATTTTTTAAGTGACTATGTTTTGTCCACTCTGTGAATCTCTTATATCTGCATTAAAACTGTTAACTACAAATTTGAAGCGGATTCAATTGGCTTTAATTCCAGCTCAATTACGTTAGGATCAAATTGAAATTATTAACAAGGTTGTCCGGATGTAATCCAATCAAATTTTTCAAAAAACTACATTGAGCTTTTCACAATTGAATCAATATTTTGCAAATGGGAAAGATTGAAATTTAGAGAAAAAAAATAAAAATTAGCCTATTTATGTTAGGATAAGATTGAAAATAACAAAGTTTAAAAAAAAAGAGCCTGGATGGAACAGGAAAATATTTGAAAAATTTAAAATATGACCAAACTAAAGCACTTGCAGAGAGGTGAGATAAATATCAAAATCAAATATCATAATGGAACTCCAAAGATCATCAAATCCAGCAAATGCTGAAGGTGGTCAACAGCAGCCAAAAAACTCCCAATAATGTCTGAAGTCATATTTTACTATACAAATGCCAACTCACTAAACAATAAAATCCAGGAATTTCAGACAGACGTGCTCAGAAAGAACCCAACTTTCATTCTGGTTACCAAGACGAAGACATGAATATATCATATGTTCAAGGATAACTAATATAGTCCCGAGACAAAGTCTCACCTTAAAATTAGCAGGTCCAAACTGTTTATAAGTAGTGGCAGTAACTATAGGTGTAACAACAGCCATTGAGTCCCATTGTTCAGGTTCTTGAGAGTGATGGATAGCGTTGGTGGCAAATCCCTTAGGATAAGGCAGGAATCCGTCATTTTGAGGCACTCCGTTCTGTTGAGACATTCTGAAAAGACAATAAATACTGAACTAAACCGATTTGATTTTTTATTGTAGATGATAATAAGGCTACAAGCAGATAAAATGCGAAATTTTCGCATGGTGAAATATTTTTTATAGATAAATCTCCTGATTAATATTTATATTTATAATCTTTGCACTGATAAAGCTTATTGTTAGTTTTGGCTTTTGACTCGATTTTCAATTTTCAACAAACAAAATGTAAAATTTTATATTATGCTTACTAATTAGTAATTGTGTGTATGTAAAGGAATATCTATAATTAGCAACTAAGTGCAAAAAACAATAATGTATATCTATTATTTCCTTACTTGTAGGAATTTTTTTTCAGCTAAGTAAATCACAAAACCATCAACTTTGCTTTTAAAAAACTTTTAGACACTAATTTACAACTAAAAATTACAATTATGTACTTCCAACAGCAAGTACAATAAATAATGTTATTGCTATCAGTTGTTATGGGTTTTTATATGGCATTGGAATGCAAAGTCATCAGATTACATTATAATATGGGTCATGATTGGGATATTTCTAGCTTATATGTCATCCACCATAAAATTTTATCATCAATTAGGTTTATTTGCGTGATTATCTCCAATTTTGCTTAATCACGATGACAATGCTGTTTGACGCAATTCTATTTTTATTAATCCATAGTATAATTATCAATAATGTGTTTATTAGTTTAAAAAATTGATTTAATTTTAATTTTTCTTATGGTTTGTGAGAAACGTATACACAAATTCGCCTAAAAGGCAAAAATTAGTTGCAGGCAAGATTAAAGCAATTTTGATATTTTGATGGATATTTCCGTTTTTCATATACCTATATATATGCATGTATTGTTGTTTTATGTTAAAACTTAACATTTTCGAATAGATAACTAAAGCGAAGTATCAAAGAGCGCTTGGGAACATTTGAAAGATTTCTGATAACTTCTAGAACATTAGGAAACCAATTAAAAACTTGGGAAAGCATTTTGAAGAGCTTCAGAATGTAGGTACTATAGTGCCAAGTTAGAACATTTTAAGACGCCTTAGAGCAATTTAGAACTTTGATGGGCTTCAGGAGACTTTCAATTCAATTTCCAATCCTTCTGCATTTGTTTAAAGCCTCATCATTCACACGGTGCAAGTAGCTTGAGCAAGTACTAACGCCAGTAGCTAAATTATCTTTGTTTTTGTGCAAGTGTCTACATGCATTTTACTGATTTTAAGTCGAATTTAGTGATTAGTGCAAATTGAGGTAAAATGGCAGCAAGTACAGTTGTTCGAAAAGAAATTCAAAAATGCATTTTGAGTGTTTGTGGAGAATTATCAGAAATTTTATTGAAAGAAATTGAAAACGAAAGACGTTGATGGGTTCGACCATGGATATCTCATAAAGAAACACATGGTGCATCTTCCACATTAGTCGTTGAACTGGCTAAGGAAGATCCAGAAGAATATCGAAACTGTATGCGGATGACAACAGAACAATTAAATAAGTTACTTTTCAAAATAAAACCCATGCTTAGCACACAAGATACTGTAATGAGACTTGCTATTCCAGCCAAAATTAAATTGGATTGGATGTTCTCTGTACTCTTGCACAAATTTAATTGTGGTTTCTTCCGTCCAACGAGACAGTGCAAAGGCAATTAATAGGTGCAACACAATCCTCAAAATATTCAAATTCAAACCCTACTAATGTACTTCACTAATCACTAAATACAAATCCTGTCTACACGCGTCCAGTCCGCTAAAGTCAGTAAAATAAACGAGAGTGGGGGAAGCCACTTGCTCAAGTAAATAGAACCTGCTTCTATTCACTTGATTAATCACTTTACTAAAGAGTTTATTTGCTCAAGTACTAAATTAAGGTGTTTACACGATTCAAGTTACTAAATTTCAGTTACTGGCGTTAGTACTTGCTCAAGCTACTTGCACCGTGTAAATGAGGCTTTACTTGACTAATCACTTGACTAAAAAGTTTACTTGCTTAAGTACTAAATTAAGGTGTTTACACGATTCAAGTTACTAAATTTTAGTACTTGCTCAAGCTACTTGCACCGTGTAAATGAGGCTTTACTTGACTAATCACTTGACTAAAGAGTTTACTTGCTTAAGTACTAAATTAAGGTGTTTACACGATTCAAGTTACTAAATTTTAGTTACTGGCGTTAGTACTTGCTCAAGCTACTGGCACCATGTAAATGAGGCTTAAAACAAATTGGAATCTTTAAAAACATTGTAAAATGTTACAGAACACTTTAGAATTACAGAAACATTCTAAAACAAACCCAGACAGAATACTTCTGAACTTTCGGCAACATTTTAGAATGCTTTTGGAACACTCTAGAACACTTACAAATCATATAAAACTGTAAGAAACAATCTAGAACCTCCAATTTAGAACATTTTTAAGCATTTTTGGACGTTCTAGAGCACTTTAGAATAAATTCAGAACTCAGTCTATTTCCATCTCTTGAGTTTCCGTTTTCTTGTGAATTTCTCAAAGTTCGTGAGCTTGGAATAGAAACAAAACTTATACATATTTTTAGTCCATTGTGTTTTTTCACAGAATCTTGATTCGCCAGATTAATTTATCATCAAGTTTGGACTAGGTACTGTTCATAATTTTGATTATTAACAGATACTGATCCCTTCTAGAAAAATTATCTAGCAAATCAAAGGACGCTCATAGTCCAAATTTTGATTGTTACTGACTCTTGAATTCATTGAGATATTTCTAGAAAGCAATTCAAGAGTCGACAATAGTTCAAATTATGATTAATTGAGTAGCGCTAAGTGGTATCACCACGTTCCGCTACTGCGCTGGCAGTCCGGTTCCAACAATGAGTAACAGATAGCATGATGGCGCCTCCAGGATCAAAATATTCCGGAGGTAAAATACCCGACCACTCGGATCTCCGGGCGTCGGGTGATCCTGGGGGTCCTTCATGCAAAAATATAAAGAGAAGATCAAAAACTCAACTCAGAATTGATTTTAGCAATATAAGAGGAATAAGTACAAATATGAATTCGGTTCACCAACATCTTGAAGAACAAAGACCTGACATCCTTGTTCTCACTGAAACTAAAATCAGTTCTGCAACACCTATTGTGAACTATCTTTATCCCGGCTATGACCTACACCACCGATTTCGACATAATTTTGGGATCTGTGTGTACATTAAAAATGACCTTTCATGTCATCGAGAGGAGAAGCTAGAACCAGCGAATCTTGATATCATATCGCTAAAATTCACCTCAAAGTCATCGACCAAGTTTATCTGCTGCCTCTACCGACCGCCAAGTAACACCGATTACCAAAACTTTTTCGCGACATTATCCGAAAGCTGTGATAGTATACAGTCAAACTATCCACAGGCGGAAATTGTCTTTTTAGGCGATTTCAACGTCCACAATATACCCTGGCTGAAACACCACAACAAAACAGATAACGAAGGCAGAGAAGCAGAAGCTTTTGCCATAAGTTGTGGTCTAACGCAGCTTGTCGATGAACCTACCCGTATCTCAGAAAGGGGCGAATTTGCAGCGCTTTTAGACTTGTTCCTAACCACAAATCCTGACTCGTACACAATTCAAGTAGATGCTCCACTTGGTTCGTCCGATCATAAACTTATAATAACAAAGTGCGAAATGCTCATCCCACCAAGCCTACAACCACTTCCTCGTAAAATGTGGCACTATAAATCGGCAAAATGGAATGACCTAAAACAGTATTACCTGGATTTTCCATGGCAAGAGGTTTGCTTTAAAACTGCTGATCCCACTATTTGCTGTAATGAAATAACACAAGTAATCTTATCTGGAATGGACGCATATATATATCCCACATACAACTAAACGTAGAGCTAATGCAAAACCTTGGTTCAACAGCCAGTGTCAAACGGCTGTACAGAAAAAACACAGAGCATATAACCTTTGGAAACGACAACAAACCGCTCAAAACCACACAGAATTTATAGAAGCCAGAAATAGTTGCAAAATTACTATTGACGCCGCTAAAGAAACATACAATCAAAGAATAAAAAACAGGTTGCTGAATTGTCCAAGTAGTTCTAGGTCTTTTTGGTCTCTTGCAAAAGCTGTTGGATCTAACTTCACCAAGTCATCCATACCACTACTTACAGATAAAAATAATCACTTAGCCACAACATCAGAGGAAAAAGCCAATATGCTTGCCCAAATGTTTTCCTCCAACTCCAACCTAACAGTGCCAAACGGAAAAACTCCACCGTTCATTGAAAGGGTTTCCCATAGTATGCCAGAGGTACCCTTTTGTCACAGAGAAATACGAAAATCCCTAAAAAAGCTAGATACAAACAAAGCAATGGGTCCGGATGGCATTCCCGCAATAGTACTCAAAAATTGCGTCAACGAACTCACCCCAACTTTCGCAAAATTATTCAATTTGTCTTACAGGCAAGGAGTATATCCATCATCATGGAAGTCTGCCGCAGTACAACCCATTCCAAAGAAAGGAAAAAAGACAGATCCGTTAAACTATAGACCAATTGCTCTACTTCCGGTGATATCAACAGTAATGGAAAGAGTTGTGAACAATCACCTAACCAAGTACTTGGAAAAGTACAAAATTATCAACGATAAGCAATACGGATTTCGAAAATATAGGTCAACTGGCGATTTACTTACATACGTCACTCACTTATGGCAAAAAGCGATTGAGTTGCGGGGTGAAACAAGAACAATTGCCTTAGATATATCTAAAGCATTCGACAAAGTTTGGCATGAAAATCTGCTCAACAAGCTCAAAGCAATGGGATTATCGCCGAAACTTTGCACTTGGTTTGAAAGTTACCTAAAGGACAGATCCATTTATGTTGCACTGGATGGCCAGAACTCCAACTCTTACCAAATAAATGCAGCCGTGCCACAGGGAGCAATCCTTTCGCCAACCCTTTTTCTGATTTACATAAATGACCTCATAGATAAAACAGTAAATCCACTTTATTGCTTTGCAGACGATGGCAATGTAGTGTCCTCACTCATACCACCCACAGGTCTTTCCGCACGTGAATTCCATCATCTTAGATTAACTCAAATATCGCAGATAAATAACGACCTGGAGATAATAGAGGACTGGGGTAACAAAAACCTTGTACAGTTCAACGCGCAGAAAACCCAAGCAGCTCTGTTTTCAAAAAAGACCAGCACCGGTGAGCCAAACATCATGCTATCTGGAAGTGCTGTCACATTACAGAGTCAGTTGAACATCTTGGGGGTTACTGCAGAGACCAACATGTCTTGGCACAGTCACGTGGCAGATATTGCTAAAAGGGTGTCCCAAATGCTGGGGGTGCTATTTCGTACAAGACATCTGTACACACCAAGCCAATTGCTGACACTCTACAAAGCCCAGATTCGACCAACTATGGAGTACTGCTCACATATATGGAGTGCAGCACCCAAACATACCTTAATGCTTTTGAACACCGTGCAAAAACGAGCTATCAAGCTGATCAATGACCCCGCACTTACTCGTAACTTGGATGGTCTCGAACATCGCAGATCTGTGGGCGATTTATCTCTCTTCTACAGGTACTATCACGGAAAATGCTCTGAAGAGTTGGCACGTATGATTCCACCGAGAGTAGCACCTACCAGGCGAACCCGTCAAACAGACGGTAACCATGAATTTACTGTCAAACTAGAGGTACCAAGAACCTCATTATATCAGAATTCATATCTCTGGAGAACAGCATCGCTGGGGAATAAACTCCCTGCGACGGTTTTCCCTGCAGGTTACAACCTGAACCGTTTCAAGACCAACATACACCGACATTTCCGCGCACTTGCCGCTTCTCGAGCGTGATAGGACATTTCCTTGCGAGTGCGCATATCCGTAAAAAAAAAAAAAAAAATTATTGTCCCTTGATCTACCAAGGTAATTTTTCTAGTGGCAATCATGACATACATACCTACTTAAAATCCAATGGGATTTTTCACAGAATCTTTGATTCGCCAGAGTAATTTATCATCAAGATTTGGACTACTTATCATAATTTTGATTAATAACAGATACTGGATCCCTTCTAGAAAAATTATCTAGCAAATCAAGAGCCGCTTATAGTCCAAATTTTGATTGTTACCGGCTCTTGAATTCATTGAGATATTTCTAGAAAGCAATTCAAGAGTCGACAATAGTTCAAATTATGATTAATTAGTATCCCTTGATCTACCAAGGTAATTTTTCTAGTGGCAATCATGACATACATACCTACTTATAATCCAATGGGATTTTTCACTGAATCTTTGATTTGCCAGAGTAGATATCATCAAGATTTGGACTTATCATAATTTTGATTAATAACAGATACTGATCCCTTCTAGAAAAATTATCTAGCAAATCAAGAGCCGCTTATAGTCCAAATATGATTGTTACCGGCTCTTGATTTCATTGAGAAATTTCTAGAAAACAATTCAAAGCCGAGAATAGTTTAAACCGTGATTATTACTGTCGCTTGATCTACGAGGTAATTTTTCTAGTGGCAATCATGACATACATACTTATAGTCCAAATGTGGTTTTACACAAAATCTTGATTCGCCTGAGTAGATATCATCAAGATTTGGACTACTAATCATGTTTTTGATTATTAACAGATACTGATCCCTTCTAGAAAAATTACCTAGCTAATCAAGAGCCACTTAAAGTCAAAATCTTCAATTTCCAATCCTCCTGCATTTGTTTGAGACAAATTAAACTTGCAGGAACATTGTAAAACGCTACAGAACACTTTAGAATCAATTTAGAATTTCAGAAACATTTTATAGAACACTGCAGGAACATTTAAGATAGACTTGAGATACTTTAAAGTTTAGGTTTAGTCTAGAGGTTTAGTTGAAATTTCCAGGAGTATTTTTGGAATGTTTAGTACACCATGCAAATTATAAGGAACTTTTGAAAACAATCTACTAGAACTGCAACTTTCAAAATATCTTTATTGAACATGAACATATTATAAGACACTCTGAAACACGTTCAGACGTTAGAATTTCAATTAGAGAAGTATCAAAGAGCGCTTAAGAATATTTGGGAGATTTCTGATAACTTTATAGAACATTCGATTAGTTATATGGGGTTTCAGATTTTTTTTTTTTAGTTTTCTCTCTGTAAAGGAGTTTGAAAAACAGTTTTGTATTTGTCATTTCATTAAACATTTGTTGGGAATTTCTGTTTTTTTTTTTTTTTTTGTAAATAGTTATTTATTGTGTGTGTTTTTTCCCTCTTGTACAATATTCTGGAAGGATCTTTCTTTGGATATATAGGGCTGTTCGCACAGCAATCACAAACCAGTCAGAGCGAACTTCATTGGTTGAAAACAATCAGAAACAGTCAGAAAACTAGTTTCAACCAATGAAATTCGCTCTGACTGGTTTGTGATTTCTCTGCGAACAGACCTTATAATATGTTAATTTATATGGATATATCTATCAAAATCCATTCAAAAACCAAAAAGTGGAGAAAATTGTTTGTCAATCCTCATTAATTATTAAGGTTAATTTTTAATTTAATTTTCTGAAATTGATATCGCCTTCAACAGCACATCTCTAAATTTCAACTTTGGATATTCCTATTATAATTTATATTTTTCAATGTAAAATATCCTCTAGGTAACAAATTGTTACCTTGTTGGAAATTTTATGATTAATTGAAAAGTTGTTCGTTTTAAATTAAATAATGTATAATGACTCTAATTTAAAGTTAAGATGCTAATGATGATTAATCTATTTTTAATTAATTAAAAAATATATAAATTAAAATCTGTTTTACCTTTGTTTGATATGTGCTTTGGAGCGATAAAATATTCAAAATTTAAACGACCATTGAATTATAAATAAAAAGTATAATGAGATTAATAGAATCATAAAAGCATACACCTTACCTATTAAAATTTAAAGATCAAATAATCCAGACGACAAACACTCCACTTCAAATTCCAAAGAAGATTGATGTCTCCTCACTCTCTCCAAAACTTTGCCACGAGATTAGTAGATGATAGGATAGAGATTTTAACCAACAAAAAAAATTATATATAATTAAAAAGTAGAGACCCAACGAGTTTCAATTTAACGATAACGTTATACTGGTTATAAAATGCATCCAGTATTGAATTGAATATCGTTTTTCATGCGACAAAACTCCAATTTGCGCAAGCTTAAATAGATTCAAGGGCGCTCCCATCATATGGCTCCCAGTTTTTGCGTCATCTTGCGATAGTAGGACGCCGACCTGAAAAACCAGCTGAGTTGAAATCATCGATAAATATATGTATAGGTATTGCTGAAATATAGTTTTAGAGAAAGTCAGCTTGTTAAAATTTTGAATATCCATCTCAAGAAGCTTTAGGTACCAACTTCCCAGTATTTAAGAGAAAAAAAATTAGATTATTTTCCCAGCGTATGCTGTTTGAAATTTTCAACGAACCTGTGCACTGCAAACTTATATAGAGTATATTAATAAGTAGCATTTGAAATATTACAAATTTGCTTAATGTATTTTCCTGACAGTGTGACGAATCTCATCAGAATTCACAGTACAAGTGTATAAATCAAAAATATTCTATTGTTAATTACATTTATAATAAAAAATACACAAATATACAAAAACATTTTATTTAAAATTCAACAAAATATTAACCAAAAACGCAAATTCTCCAAAGAAAAAACCACAATACAATAAAAATTATACTTAAAAATGCAATTACATATTACTTAAATTTATATTTTCTCCTCACAAAAACTCCTCAATACTTTTATTGAGCTGCACGTTCATCCAATCCAAACTGATATCATCCAAATGATTATCGAAATCAACCAAATCATTGAAGGCCTTTTCTTGCATCAAGCCCATTAGAGCTTGAGGCGTGGTTTCGGATGGAACCAAACTTACGCGTTGCTCTTCAATTAGCTTAAAATTACCACCGTCTGCCAGTTGGGCAACTTTTAGTGCGGATACGTCAGGTATATTTACAAATTTTGTGTTGTTTATCTAAAAAATAGATATTGGGAGATTTTGAAATTTAGATGTTTGCTTGCTTACCACCACAATGTAAGCAGGGTTGCAGTTAGCTGATATTTTCTCAGCAATTCTATTGTAAGCTTTCTCGAAAGTGTTGTCTCTCAAATTTTCATTGGCAGCGTAGTATCCAGCAATTATTAGGCCTCTGGTCGAAGCTAATTCGTCAATCTGGAAATCAAAGAATGTGTGTGGATATAGGCACACTACTAGCTAGAAAAACTTATTACCTGCATCAAAGCAATTTCAGCCATAGGTGTAAGATTAATACTGATGTGGAATAATGGGACAGCATCGACAAATTCGATTTCCTTATTATTAGTGGACACTGTATGGGATTTAGCCAACAAAACCCCATTGATGGCACAATGTGGGTATTTGATGGCGTGCAATAGCATTTTACAGAAAGCCCGGGCGCTGAATTTTACGTCGGACATTATCGAAGTGGATTTTTGTATTAAATAGGAATAGTTATTGATTGATAATAATTTAAATTTATTGATAATCAAATATAAATAATAAAGTCAGGTTATGTTTGTTGTGAAAAAATGGCATTAGTGATGTTTTCTGCGCTGTTGCCACTTTGCTTTTTCAATCAAATGTTGTAGGGTTGCAGGTTGCAGTTCAAAAAAGTAGAGGAGGATTTATCGATATTCATAGCCATGAATATCGATACGATATTCTTTCAGCTCAATTTGTGTTTATTCCCGGCTCTTAAATGTGTTGGGATAGAAAAAATATGAATTTCTTCAGGTTGCGATAACTTTGATAACGTCATCTGGGGTGCCTAAACATAGTGCAAATTTCCATTAAGTCCTCCTGATGACGTCATCTGGTAACCATTACCAGAGGCGTTTTGTCGCGGTGCGAATGGTTCGAACTCGAACCACGGTTTAAACCAAAATAGATGACGTCATCACTTGTGAACGCGAGAAAATTGAAGGTTTAAAAGTTTAAACCACAGTCTTACATCAACGAAGAACAAGCCATGAGTCTGGTTCGAACTTTTTTGAACCAGGTCCAATGTGACGTCACTGGTTCAACGCAAGAATGTACAGGTTCAAACATAAATGCACAAAATACTGACAAAACGTTATAATGCAGATCTTTAGTAGATAGATTAGATTTTAAAAGAAATTAAATTTAAAGTATGTTGCAACAAATCAAATAAGTCGTTGGAGTTTTCATTTCTAGAACTAAGCTGGAATCGGGTTCGAACCTTTTTGGTTCAACGTGGTATAATTTTGTCAGTTGCCAGTTCCATCAATAATCATATTTATTGTTCGGTAAATCCACGAGCTCGAACTCTCAAACTCGACTACCTCAATGCTCGATTTGATTTCTTCTGAAGTGAATCACAGTCACTCTGTGGTGTTTTTATCGACTGTTTCAAACCGGTTTTGAACCAATAATGTCAAAAAAGTGGACGCGAGAAAACGGCTTAGATGTTTTTTTAGTGTTTCAATTCGGATTAAAAATACTAAAATCGCGGCCATATTGGTGTATCACCATTGTCGACGTCATTGACTAAGTCGTTAGCTGTTTGCGCCAGCGGTCCTAGTTTGGAATTTAAATTTATGATGAAAAATATGATTTTATAGGCAAAGAGGAGTATGCAAACGAGATCTAAGAAGGAGTTATTTTAGAACGTTAATTAATGTAGTAAAAGCAAGTATGAAGGCAAAGCCCGTGGAATCATGACCTGTGCTGCAATCAGCCTACGTCAAAGCGAGAAACGACATGCTGCCTACGTCACAACTAGTGATTTAGCGTTGTGGTGGGCTTCAGATTTGTTCTACACAGGCCTTATGAGAATGGGCTATCCTGCAGGGACCCGGACCGGAACGATATTGAGCCGAAAATCGGAACGAAACCATTTTTTTGCGGACCGGAACGAAACCCATATTTTATAAAAATGTTGTAGAGTAGGCAGAACCGGAAGCGATATAAATTAATCGGTTCTTTTCGGTATTTTATAGTTCCAAGATCTTAAAAATTAAGCTGTTTGATCGTATCGTAATAAATTTAACACTCTAAAAAAAAGAGCGTTGGAAAGCGCGCATTTCTGAACCCGACTAGGCTACACCAAAGATATTACACACTACAAAGGATTGCTCATCGGCCTCGATCTTTGGAATTAAGTTCATATGGTGTTGCACCGTTGTCGCCGTCATCAACGGTCTCGTAGCGGTTTGCACCAGCAGTCGTAGTTAGGAATATATTATGATGAATAATATAATTTAATTTTGATTAACCTAATAGGCAAGAGGAACTAGAGGAAGAGACAAACGAGATCTAAACAAGGACTGTTTTAGAATAATATTAAAGCTGTTTTCTCGCGGTGGAACTGGTTCGATCTGGTTCAATTAGGTTCGAACCTCTACATTCTTGCATTGAACTAGTGACGTCATATTGAACCTAATTCAAAAAAGTTCGAACTGCAATCTTTGGCTTGTTATCCGGTGACAAGAATGTGTTCAAACCTTCCATTTTCTCGCGTTCACCAATGATGGCGTCATCTACAAAGTGGTTTAAACCGTAGTTTGAATCATTCGCCCTGCGAAAAAACGCCTTTGATTGATAAAATTTTATTTTAAAAATGACAAGTGACTTAACTAAAATAGAATTCTATTTATCGTTGCACGTGCCTGCATTACCTGCATTTTCGGATGTTTGCGTACTTTTCAGAGGAGATTTCGTTCCAATCAACATGTTGTCCTCAAATTCTGCTTATTGTTGCCTCTAGAACACTAATTCTGGATCTAGTGTTGGTTTTTTTTATGTTGGAAACTAATCGGGCAACCGTTAACAGTTACTCCATTTGGTCTACTCAAACATGGAACACAATTACTCTATTTGCCATATTTCGAGTGCTCTGAGTAAGCAAATCGTTCAAGATTGTATTTTTTTTACTCCAAATAGTAGGTTCGAATATTGAAGAGTAAAAATTCAAACGAGTTCGGAACAGGTTTTTGGGTTTGAGAACAATTAAAACGGATTTGGAACTGATACTAGTTCCACCGCAAATACAGAACAGTAAATTCAATGATTTGAGACACAAATTAAAGACTGTTCGATTGTGAACCAGTTCAAGACTTCAAAATCTATTCGGAACCGGCTTTAGTTAAACTACGAACAATCAATGTGCTCCAATACAATTCAGTTTAGTTTATTCCGAATTCGGAACAGTAATTGTAGCAGTCGGAACTATAAAAATCAATTCTGAAATGACCTGGAACCGGTTCTAAATGTTAATGTGATCCCGGACAATAATTTAGGATTCTCGTGCACCGTATTTGTATAATAATAATCTAGTTTATCAGTTAGTTCTTCTAGTTCAGAACAGCAATCAAACTACTCGGAACTCTGAGAATCAGTCCAAAAATTATATGAACTGGTCTTTAATGAACTGCGAACAATTCAATGTGTTCGGAACATCGTAACAATAATGGGTTTTAAAATCCGTTTTTTTTTTAAAGATAAAAGTCAAACTGACATTATGTTGGCAATACAATGTAAAATTGTCAATGCTTTCAAATTTTTTATGTAGAAAAGGCTTGTGTTGCCAACATAGTTACTAAATTTTTGACTTGGGGAATTATTTTTAAAAAAAAAACGCACTTTAATGTCATTTTGACTTTTATTTTTAAAAAAAAAACAGACTTTGAGCGCAGTTCAATTCTGAAATAACTCCGAACAAGCCTATTCCCAATTAGAATCAGTCCAGAGTCGATTTGGAACCGGTTCAAAATGAACTACGTATAAAAATGTGTTCCAGGGCATTTATATTGAGATTTTGTGATCTAGTTCAGGGTTTCATTTCACAGTAAAACGAGTTCGGAACAGATTTTTAATCAATTTTGAGAACAGATTTGGGCTGTTTTCTACGGTGGAGCTGGTTAGATCCGGTTCAAATTGGTTTGAAGCTGGTACACTCTTGCATTCAACCAGTGACGTCACATTGAACCTGGGCTGGGATCACGACAAGTAGAATTATACTAGAATTCTACTTCCATGACGTCAGGCTGGCAACCATCATAATCGCCTCTGTTTACGATAAATAGGACGCGGGTGACGTCATGGATGTAGAATTCTACTCGTCGTGATCCCAGCCTTGGTTCGAAACAGTTCGAACCGGACTTCTGGCTTGTTCTCCGTTGACCTAAGACTTTCATTTTCTCACGTTCACTAGTGATGACGTCATCTTCAAATTGGTTTAAACCGTAGTTCGAACCATCCGCCTCGTAAGAAATCCCTTTAAATAATGTACTAAAACTAAAGCTGTTTTCTCGCGGTGGAACTGGTTCGATCCGGTCCAATTAGGTTCGAACCTGTGTATTCTTGCGTTGAACCAGTGACATCACATTGAACCTGGTTCAAAAAAGCTCGAACCGGACTCATGGCTTGTTCTTCGTTGACATAAGACTGTGGTTCAAACCTTCCATTTTCTCGCGTTCACAAGTGCTGACGTCTTTTAGAAATTGGTTTAAACTGTAGTTCAAATCATTCGCTCCGCGAGAAAACACCTCAAATATGCATATAGCAAATATCAGCGCAATCATAGCTTTTTTGTCGCGTTCACTTTAAAATGGTTCAAAACAGGTTTGAAATCGTATATTCTCGCGATGAACCCATGACGTCACATCGAAATTATTGGCTTTAACCGTTACGAAATACAATCCAATTCACGTTTGAAAGACCATTTTCTTGCGCCGAGAAATTATGACACTGTTTTAGGGTGGGTATTATAAAACTATTATGACAGTTAACTTAAAAGTAAACTTCTGGAATGACGTTACTTCCCATAGATTATAGTTGTATTCCTTTCAAGAGTTTGAAACACTCGAGCTACTCGCTCCGGTGTTTAGTAGTCCCCGATTTGCAGGGAACAGATGCGTGGTGCAACAAACACTTTTCGAAAGAAATAAGCGCGTGAAGCCCCGGAGCTGTTCCGGAGCTCCTCCTAGGTGTGAAAGGAATACAACTTATGGTAATTCAACACGTTAACTTTTTGACATATGGTCGCGTTCACCAAATTACCAGCACTCAACATGTTGAGTGATTAGTCAGCGGCTTTGTTAAAAACAGATAAAAATCAGCTCTAGGCCAATCAAAACTGTTCTACCTTGTGTATTCCACTTGTTGGAACAAAGCCGCTTAATAATCACTCAACATGTTGAGTGCTGGTGAACGCGATAATTGATTCCGGAGTTTGAAACGGTTTTCCATTGGTTTTAAACCGGTTTTGAACCGTCAAAAAACTGCACGCGAGAAAACGGCTACAGAGCTGGGATTCTCAATCCTTAATTGTCGATACGTAACGTCCCGACTGTAGAAAGGCAATGGGAAGTCGGGGTCGATAGGTTGCGACTAGAGGTTAAGAATCGGGGGGGCAGTTTTGAAAAATACTCGCGAGAAAACAATCTGTGGTGCAAGCACCCTACGTCAAGGCGAGAAACGACACGCTGCCTACGTCATCACTGATCGAAAACACAAATATTCTTATTATCAATAATAATGATAAATAAACCACAAATTACAGAAACATAATTTTTTTTGTTATGGCCGTATGCACCGACCTTTTTGAGATGAAAATGGTCGATGCAAATAGCCATTAGATATTTGTGAAAAACATACCGTTAAAACCGAAATTATTTTGGTACTAATCGAATCGAAATATTTCTCTTAGAACCGGAACCGATATTTGTCATGACGCTGTGGACCGGAACCGGAACGGAACCGATATTTCATTTCGGTCCGGGTCCCTGCTATCCTGTAGTAGAGTGTGTATTATCCTTGCCTAAACATAATGCAAATGAACATGCAAATCTTCATTAGTCCTCCCGATGACGTCACCTGTTTACCATTTAAACAACCTATTATTTTTAGGAACGAATTTTCGTGTAGCGAATGACAGATAACGGATTGATTTTGCAATTTGCAAGATCTTTGTCAAATACATATCGATATGACAAATTCGTATCGATATGCACCTTTCCCGAAACGTATCGATGTATATATAAATCGCATCGATAAGGCCTCCTCTCTACAATTTTGTCCGCAGCTGTTCAGTTGAAAGTTGAGTTGTTTTTTGAAAAAAGATTAAAAATAAATAATAAATAATTTATTCAATTAGAAATAAATAACATGACCTAAATTAACCATTAGAATTGTGTATAGGCAATTAAATAAAGTTCTAATAGTGAGTTCTGAAGATTTGTGTTCATCATAATAAGGAGCCCACAAAATGAACCTGATAGGGGCCGTAAAGGCCTACGTAGACAAAATGACCGACGAAAGTGAACCTGGCATGAAAGTCCTCCTAATGGATAAAGAAACGACCAGTATTATCAGTATGGTTTACAGTCAAAGTGAGATACAACAAAAAGAAGTTTTCTTACTAGAGAGAATCGATTCTCCCAACTATGCCAACTCGACTGGTCTCAGATATCTCAAATGTTTAGTTTTCATAAGACCTACACAACATAATATCGAACTAATGTGTAATGAATTGAGGTACCCAAAATATGGGGCATATTATATTTATTTTTCGAATATTGTTGCCAAAGCTGACATTAAAATGTTAGGTAAGTAATATTAGGGAATCTAGATAAATAATTACTGTTAAGCATGTAATTTTTAGCTGAAAATGACGAACAAGAAGTAGTGAAAGAAGTACAGGAATTATACATGGACTACCTAGCAGTAAACCCCCACTTATTCTCAATAGGCCTCCCTTGTTGCATGGAAAAATTATCCTGGAACCAGAATGCCCTGCAACGCTCCATGCATGGTCTAGTTTCAGTAATTTTATCATTGAAAAAATCACCTATAATCCGATATCAGTCAAACTCTAGACTTGCCAAAGACTTGGGTAGCAGAATCGAGGATACAATGAATAAAGAATCTTCTCTGTTTGCTTTCGGTCAAGGAGGGCACAGTTTGCTGCTTTTATTGGATAGGAGGGACGATCCTATTACACCTTTATTGACTCAATGGACTTATCAAGCTATGGTGCACGAATTGATGGGGATTAATAATAATCGAGTTAATTTGTCTAATATAACTGGTAAGTATACCTTGAATATTTAGGTATTATGAGTGCTGAAAAATTTCCAAAAAAAAAAGTTTTCTTTGGAAACTACCTCGGAAACTACATGCCTGAATCATTTTTTATGAATCAATGAGATTTTTTTGAAAATTTATTTATCTTTTCTAGGTGTTTCGAAAGAACTCTCTGAAGTAGTTCTCTCGGCAGAACAAGACGCCTTCTATGCCAAAAACATTTTCATGAATTACGGCGACATTGGTCAAAACATCAAACAGCTAATGGATCAGTTCCAAGCCAAAGCGAAAAGCCATCAGAAAATCGAAAGCATAGCCGACATGAAAAGTTTTGTAGAATCTTACCCGCAATTCAAAAAACTGTCTGGCAATGTTACCAAACATGTAACCATTGTAGGAGAATTGAGTTCGATGGTAAACAAATACCATTTGCTTGATGTTTCTGAAGTGGAACAAGAAATTAGTTCTCAAAACGATCATTCGGCTCATTTAAGTAGTGTCAGGAAGTTGATACAAGATGATAAAATTAGGCATACAGATGCTGCTAAGCTTGTAATGCTTTATGCTTTAAGATATCAAAACCAAAATAATGAAACTTATAATCTTATTGAATTGTTAAAGAAAAGAGGAGTGACTGATAAACTTTTAAAAGACATTGTATATCTCTTAGAATATGCTGGCTCTCATGCAAGGCAAAGTAATCTGTTTAATGTTGAAGATGCAGTTAAAATTACTAAAAGATTCTTCAAAGGTTTAAGTGGGGTAGACAATGTTTACACCCAACACAAACCTTTACTGCACGATATATTAGAAGAACTTATCAAAGGCAGATTAAAAGATAATCTATACCCTGTAGTGGGAAATCATTCCAGCGGCCTAAGAGCTCAAGATATTGTTGTTTTTATCATAGGGGGAGCTACCTATGAAGAATCATTAACAGTGCATAGTTTAAATAAAACCTATCCTGGTTTTAATATAATTTTGGGTGGTACTACTATACATAACTCTACGAGTTTTCTTAAAGAAGTTGAAAATGTTTATTGTGGTGAAGATATGAGGTCCAGAAAGCATACAAAGCATTTGAGAAATGTGATATTTGAATAATAATATTTTGAAATCATTCCTTAAGATGTAAAAAATTAATTTTAAGGTATTCTTGTTGCTTTCTAGTCACAGAGTTAAGAAATAGTTTTAAGGAAGAACCCATCTTTGTGGTTTTTATTTTGCTTTAAAATTCAGTGTCTGATGTATGTATGTTTATAAAATATTTATTGCTTAAGTTGAGTAAGTATAATGAATAAAATCTTATAATTTTGTTATAGAAAAATATAAAAATCTAATTTAATAAAAGCTTTTCCTTGATTTGTGTTTTTATTTGTGTTTTTATTTGGTTAATGTGGTAAGCTTCTATTTTAAATGATTCTCGGATTTCAAAATTTATTCTATGAAATAAATCGGGGTACAGTGACTCTTCATCTACGCAAATAGCATTGAATTGGAATGAAATTTGGCTTCATATTTCTTACAAAAAATGTCAGACCTCATCTCGACTAACAAAACGCAGTATTTCTTTTCTTTAGATATGTTGGAAATATCTGCATTGAAATTTGGTAACAAAGGTGCTTTAAACCTTTCTCTATTGATATTATCCATATTTTACAAGACATACATATTATGATGACCCAACCCGTGAAAAAATATATTTGAATGCAGAGTGGGTACTAACTATCCAAGGTACTATACATTAATGCACCTTCGCCATCATATCACAAATCAAATAAGGAGTAGGTATACTAACCACATTTTATTTTTCAGTGGTTTGTGTTGTTTGTTTACTCGCTACTTTACTATATAAACTCAAAATGTTATTCTTGTCCTAAAGTCCTGATTATTTTATTTTACAATGGATATTGAAGAACCAATCATTCCATGCACCGTAGAAGAAAGCAAAGAAATAAAACCAATAAACAAAGACACAGTCCACAGAATATGTTCCGGCCAAGTAGTCCTCACTCTAGCTATAGCAATGAAAGAACTAGTAGAAAATGCAATTGATGCTGGAGCCAACATTATAGATATTCACCTGAAGGAATATGGCTCGGAGCTATTAGAAGTCTCAGACAATGGCAGTGGGGTACACGAAGACAATTTTCAAGCCTTGACACTGAAGCACTATACTTCGAAAATAAGAGAATTTAACGATTTGGAACAATTAAGCACTATGGGATTTAGAGGGGAAGCTTTGAGTTCTTTGTGTGCATTGTCAGAAATTGAAGTTACTAGTAAGCATGAAACGGCAGAGACTGCAACAAAATTAAAGTAAGTAGCTAGTTCTTGTCTATGTATGTTATTCCCAACGATATATTATACAAAAATGAGACTTAGTTACTCCATTATCTCATCTATTCTTGCCTCTACTAGCTACCCTTCTCAAAGCATCTGCTAGGATTTTCTCTAGAGTCTAGAATTCTGTCTATTTAGTAGGTATATGCCGAGGGGTGAACCGCTGAGAAAATTAGTGTACCTAATTCACAGGATGGTAACTAATTCCTCTAATTCCCTTCTAATTTCCCTGATATTTCTAATTCCCAAACTAATTCCCTTCTAATTCCCCTAATTTTACTAATTCCCAACTAATTCATCAAATCTATCACAAAAATTTGGTCACAAAATGGTGTAAAATAAATCAAGAATATCTAGATGTTTGCACTATTACATGTTAAAATAAAGAAGTCTGTAAAAAAGCTGGGAAAAAAACAAACAAAAATTACATGGGTAGCTTCTGTTTAGTCAGTGGTTTAGTCCTTCTCATAGTCAAGGAATTTTTGGAAGTTGATTTCTCCAATAGTTTCCGACGTGTTTTCCTTGTACTGCCTATAAATCTTTTAAATCGTTCAGTACATACTTACTCTTCCGTTAGACTGATCTAAAAGCCAGCAGCACAATTACTTTTTAATGATTGAAGAATTTTTACCAACATTGTTCAAGTTTATACAACTTGTTTCCAAAGTATCATATTCGCCATCTTCATGAGAAATTTCCAAGAGATTTTTTTTTGAAATTAAGTCCATGACTATATCACCCTCATTACTAACATTATTTAAGTATGTGCCACATGTTGGTCATTTTCATTTTCTTCGGGGTTTTCGTCAACTTCAACATCGCCTTCGGCGATCTCCAGTTCTCCTGTGTATATCCGATATTTTGTGTTTAGTTTATTGAAGATACCTGCATATATTTCCAATCGCTTTCTTTAGCTTTGAGACCGAATTGTTTCATATCCTCTACGACATTTTGTATAGTTTCTTCAACTGTAGGTAGCTTTGATATCCAAATTGAGAATTTCTTCTTTACATGGTAGTTTTTGTTCTGGCATTTTTATTCCAAGTTTTAGGAAACAAGTAGGTAAGCAAATTTGTTCAAATATGTGAGGTGTCTTGAACATATCATTCTTCATTTTTTTTTTCAATGCTGCAGTGGTACCATTCCCAATCTGAAACTCGCAAAGAATAGAGTAGTTCTGTTTCTTCTGGGATTGTTTTGTTTTTTTTCTTTTTATTCAGGAGCTAAACGAGACATCAAATCAGTATTTAAATGCATATCTCTTAGAAGGCGATTATCCGTCTGAGGAAAATCCTAGGGAAAATCCCATAATTGTAAAGCCAAATTTCTCAGCTTCCTCCTTCATCCATCCCCATGCTCAGTACCTAGTAAATGAATTATCAGTTCCGAATAATAATAATAATAATAATAATAATTTGCTTTAAGAGTTTTATAAAATAACCTGCTCAGGTATTGTTCGTCGATTTTTAACTGATACTTGCAGTATGAAGAGCGAGGGGGTGTTTCATATGGGAAAAACAGGTGTGACGTCAGGTAACCATTGGCGTTTTAATGTAGGGAGCCACCAGCTCACATTCCGTCCGAGTATCAGATTAAAATCGACGAACAATATACTGCTATTTTTTTGTAGCATATCTGTTTCGATTGTTTGAGCTAGTAGAATTTTTGAATAATCGAGTTATATCAGGCACAGAGTCATCAGTCTTTTGGACAGTTTCTATTTCACTTATATTCTCCAAAAGTTCCTCATCTAGTTCATTATTTCTACATACTTACTAGAAGATTCTCTTAACAGAATTTGGAATTTTACATAGGAAATAAGTTGGTTTCTTGATTGGTTTGGAAGCAAAAGTGCGCAACATGAAATTGGCATCACGACTAATAGAATCAATTTTCTATTGAAATACCGTACATTTATACAGTTCTCTATTTTTACGGAAAATAGGTTTATTCAGACGAGCAGATTTATATTTCGCTGGTTGAAAAGAATAGTATATTGTGTATTTAGGTGGAAAAGTAACACATTCTCGGCCGACGGTGTAAGTTGACAGGCGAGGCGTAGCCGAGGCCGGCAAACACCGAAGGCCGAGAATGTGCTTTTCTTCCAAAATACACATAGTATTTTTTCTGCGATGGGTTAAATACCTGTTGAATGTTTGTCTTTTAGTTCCAATTATTTAGCAGTACGCTTTCCCGGCCTAGGCCGGAAAAGTGTTTCCCGTATTGTTATTCATTGATTCCTTAGCAACTATTGAAAGATAATTGAAAGATAATTGAAATACTAGAATATTGAGTTTTGCAACCTGTCAACCAGTCAAAAATGCTGACATTTCTTGTCAATCGCAGTAAAATATATTTTTTCTGTGACGGAAAAAAGTAGACTTTTTGTACCTGTTGACAGGAGCAAAAATGTCACTTTTTCTCCCATGGGAAAAAAGTGATTTTTTTTTTCCCACAGGAAAAAAGTAACAGGTACCAGTCAATTTTTTTTCCCGAGGGAAAAAAGTAACAGGTACCAGTCAAATTTTTTTCTCAAAGGGAATAATGTATAGATGGAAAATGATGAGATTTTCTCGTCACAGAAAAAAATAGTGCATTATACATGGGAAAAAAAGTAAGATTTTAGCGCTCGCTGTGTTGTCTCCCTCTGCTTCGTGTCGAGAGACAAAACACACCTTGCGCTAAAATCTAGTACTTTTTTCCCTTGTATAATAAATAACTATTTTTTTTCCATATGTCATTAATGCATCAGTTGATCGTGAACGAAACGCAATAAATGCATGTCCTTTCACGAAAAATTATAAAATAAATAATATAAAACAGATTGATGAAATCCATCTATGTTTCATTGGATACACTGGATCCGTAGCAGTTCTATGCGAAGGTTCTATGTAATGCGACGTTGACTGATTAGCTTTCTAAAATTTCCTATTAATTCCACCATTCTCTTACTAATTCCTCAATTTTCCCGACTAATTCCCCAAATTTCCTGACTAATTCCCATATTTCCCCAGTAATTTCTCTAATTCCCCAATAATTTCCTAATTCCCCACTAACTCCTCTAATTTCTTACTAATTTCTGAAGATTGTACACCAAAATTTCCTTGCGGTTCACCCCTCGGTATATGCTATCAATGATGCTATACAGCACAGATACTTATAGCAGTTGTCAGCCCAGTAAGTAATTATAATAACACATTGAACCAAGTCAAAATAGTTCATATACTTAAACCCAAAGTCCATGTGCAACAAATTTTCTGATCTGCAGACTTTAATAGAACACGCTAGACGCAAATTATAGCCATCATAGAGACTTGGATCCCCGAACAAATGAATACTGCTCACTTCAACATAAAAGGCTTCAACTTTTTCTCCCGCTGCAGATCAAGGATTGGCGGAGGAATGGCAGTTTATGTAGCTACCTGCTTTAGAGCTTGTGTATTGGATATCACCACCACAAATGAGACGGTTAAAGAGTTGTGGTTGAAGATCAACATTGAGAAACTATCATGTGCTCTTGGCATAATCTATAGGCCTTCGCCTTAATCTATACTCTATGGAGCATTTGAATGTCTATACCAGAGGCACTACTAGCACATGACATATGCATTATTACTGGTGACCTAAACACAGATCAACTATCCCCAGATAGCTATTGCTACAAGTATTTGCAGCAAATCCTTATGTCATTTGGATTAAACCAGTTGATAAGAGACCTGACAGGGGTCTCAAAAAGCTCTCGACTTAGTGCTGGTGAGTGATACTGATATCATATGTGATAGTGGGGTCATTGTCACAGATCCCGTTAAATCAGATCATTATTATTATTATTATTATTATTATTATAGGGGTTTTTGACAGTAGGCGGAAAAACTGGTAGTCTGTCATTAGTCCTTGTGCTGGGAATGTTACTTGCCAGTACACTATTTTACGGCCCATCACTAAAATATTTATCAAATCTGTTCTTGAAGGCATTCACACTAGGGGAGGTTACAACCTCGTCAGGGAGCTGATTCCACTGTTGCACCACTCGATTTGGAAAGTCTGTAATCAAGTTCGGTGGAGAGCTTCAGGGAGTGTCTACGCAGATGAGGGTTGATATTTCTGTGAAAGAAATCAATGTCGCATGTGTAATGATTATGTAGAATTTTGTATGTTTCGATTAAGTATCCTCTATTTCTGCGTTTCTCCAGAGTTGTCAGATTAAGAGCTTTCAGTCGTTCTTCATAAGACAATTCTCTTAGAGATGGTGGAATTTTGGTTGCCCTCCTCTGGACACGCTCAATCAGATCTATGTCCTTTCTGAAATAGGGACACCAAACCACAACAGCATGTTCCAGCAGTGGTCTGATGTAGGTTTTGAAGGCTCGGAGAAACACTTCAGGGGACATTTTCCTGAAACAGCGTCTTATCAAATAGACCGTTGAGTTGACTCGCTTCACAATTGCATGTATGTGCTGTTCTCATTTTAGGTCATGTGAGATATTTACTCCTAAGTCTGCCTGCTCAGTCACCCTTCTCAAGTTGTTATTGCCCATAGGATTGTTGTATCCAATGTGCAACACACAACATATGCTGACATTAAGATTTAATATCCAGTCCTTCGTCCACCTATCCAGCTCAGCAAGATCCTCAACCATAGCACCATGTTGGAATGTAGGGTCACAGAATATCTTGGTGTCATCGGAATACATACTGGTCCTACAGGACATGTTCTGGGAAATATCTGAGACATAAATTATAAATAGAAGTGGGCCCAGCACAGAGCCCTGTGGAACTCTACTGACTACACTGTGCTCGCCAGATCATGAAGATTTGTCATAATATCCTGTGATCGTTACCAATATAAGGCACACTGTGCTCGATACCGAAGTTTCAGGTTTCAGGAAAACTGATGGAGATGCTTTTTGATAAGTGATATTGGCAGTATGAATTTGAGTCCTCTGTATCTTTCTTGTGATATCAATTTTAAACTGTCGTTTTTTAATAGTGTTGTTATAGAGTTGCTTGATAAACATGCCCCAAAGCACGCCAGAATATTTAACAAACTAAGTACCCCTTGAATTACATATAATATATGATGTAAGATCAAGAAAAAGAAAAAGGCTTTTAAGAATTTCAAAAAAAGAAAAACGCAAGGTTCTGGATCTTTCTATTGTGAACTAAAAAATATCGTTTCTGTGGCAATACAGCACGAAAAAAGTGCTGACTATCAGACTATCGATCACAATTCTATGATGCAAGAAACAACACTAAATATCTCTGAAACACAATAAAGAAACTTAACATTCATAGAGAAGGCGAACATAGTTTGCCTGTAGATTTAGATGACCCTGATTTAATAAACAACACCTTTATAGATTCAATTCCACAAGTTCAAGCTTGTAATGAACTCTAAAGGCCGCCACAGAAGCTCAGTTATTTTGCATAGACCGACTGCGCAGGCCGATTTGCGCAAATTTATCTGTACCTGTGCCTCGCGCACAAACGCTCAGTTTTCAGCACAGTTCCTCCCAAACAGGACGATAAACGCAGTTCAAAGGTACCTATTTTTCTTCTACAGTGAAAATGGCTTCTTGCAATACAGCTTTGTCTTGAATTCTGCTTGCTTGTGAAATAAAGAAGAATACTTCATAGGAAGTCGATTTCTTGTTCCTATCACTATACTTACTTTTTATTTTCCATAAGCATGGAAAGGTTTCGTATATTTCTATAACGTCGCGGACTGAACACACTCACACACGCTCAAGCCTGTTCGTTTGCGCAGGCCAAACTTCAAGCAGATCTTAATTTACTCAGGCCAGGCCAGGCATGAATGGTGTATTAGTAAATATGATAAAACTGTGTTTGCCACATTGCCTAAATCCACTTGTGAACATTATAAATTTGTCTTTAGAACAGTGCAAAATTCCAGACCTATGGAAAATTGCTCTAATACAACCTCTTCCTGAAAAACCAAATCGAACATTCACAGATCTCAGGCCTATCAGTATACTGCCAACTACTTCAGAGATTTTGGAAGAGGTGGCTCATGAACAGATCAATGAGTATGTGAAACTAACTGACACATTGCCGCCTTTTCAGTCAGGATTTCGCCCAAATTATAGCTGCACTACTGCTCTAAGCTTAATTATTTAAACTTTTATCAAATTAGCCTCTCATGGTTTCGTAATTACCTAATATATAGGTTTTACCAGCTGATGCGAATCAATATCTTAGGTATCACTAAGCTCTCAGAACCAAGACAGATACGATCTGGGGTCCATTCTTGGACCACTGCTGTATTCCATTTATACATTTGATTTGAAAAGTGTTGTGCGAAATAGTTCTTTGCATGCCTATTATAATAACATTCAAGAATATCTGTAATTTTTCAGGGATAACTTTGACTTAGCTTTGGGAAAAATTATTCAGGATCTTATTAAGGTTACTGAGTGGGCACAGAAGAATGCATTAGTTGTAAATCCATCAAAAACTAAAGCTGTTTTGTTTGGAAGGAATATAGATGCAAGAGATTTGAGATGCGTGCAGGTGTTGGGGCATAAAATTGTACAGGAGAGGGAAGTAAAGAGTCTAGGTCTGTTGCTAGATCCGGCTTTATCTTTTACAGCGCATGTTAGTGCAATTTCAATTTGTCAGAAAACATATTGGTGACATTCATGCCAGGTCAATAAGGAACATAGACACTCTTGAAATACCATACATTGTACTGAATTTTTCAAATCTTCTTCCTCTTACTTGGGCCCACATATTTACAACATGATACCAAAAGGAAATACAAAAAGTAGGGTCTATAGAAAACCTTTGCAAAGATTTATTGTTCATTTAAATGGTTAGATTTTATTGCATAATAATAATTATTTTTTTTGTTATAAACAGTTCCCAGTGTGTTTGAGAATATGCTTAGCAGTACAGCATACCTTTTGTGTTAAATGTATGTTCTGATTTTCACACAATAATCCTCTCTTTATTTATTTATTTATTTAATGTGTTTTGCTATTTGTATGCTCATAGTTTTTTCTAGAATTTTTTAAAAAGTGGTCTTGTGAAGTGTGCATGAATATTGGTCAATAGTTGGCATCTATAGCAATAAACAAGTCTCACAGAGAGCTGCATTAACAAATTCAAAATGAAAACAAGCAACAGGAAAACTCATTCAGATTTCGATAAGTCAAATTGACACATTGCTCAATGCCTGGCGCAACTCCTTACTAATTTACCTATCTATTTGTTTCAGATATGATTATGGTGGAAATATCATCAGTAAAGAGATAGCGGCTAGACAACAGGGAACCACTGTCACTCTCAAAAATCTCTTCTCAACTCTCCCAGTGAGAAAAAGAGAATTTTCTAAAAACCTCAAAAAAGAATTTTCAAAAATGTGTAACCTACTGTACGCTTACTGCTTACTACCGGCAGGAATAAAATACAAATGTACAAATGCCACAGCAAATGGAAGTAAAAATATTGTTGTAGCTACAGAAGGTAATAAGACAGTGAGGGAGAATATTATAAGCGTTTTTGGTGTTAAACAGTTGGCATCACTCATAGATGTAAAAGAAATAATTCCAGAAGAAAAATTAGCAGAGGAATATGGTCTTGAGTTGGTGCCAGGTGAAGAACTTCCATTCACATTAGAATTTCTAATATCTAATGCCATTCATGGAAGTGGTCGCAGTTCAACAGACAGACAATTTTTCTATATAAACCACCGACCATGTGAACCGACAAAAGTTATAAAATTAGTCAATGAGGTTTTTAGACAGTTTAACAATAAGCAGTATCCTTTTGTATATTTGAATATTATAACCAAATCTTGCATAGTAGATGTAAACATTACTCCTGACAAAAGACAAGTGTTTTTGGAAAAAGAAAAAATCTTATTGGCAACTGTTAAAGCATCTCTTTTAGAAGCTTTCAAAGATTCTCCTTCAATATTGAAAGTACAAAATTTGGACGTTTCTCTAGCCATTAGCAGTCAGAAAGGGATTAAAAGGAATTTAAGTGAAGGCAGTAGCAGTATTTTGGAAACCTTTAAGAAAAAATCTAGAAATAGTAATGTTTCTCCAAAAAGTCAAAACGGTAGTTTTTCAAATATCTTTCAAAAATCTTCATCAGATCCTATTCAATCAGCAAGAAAATGTAAGGACCATGATTTATCATCAAGTCAAATTGAAGCTGATGCAAAATTGGCAACTCTAGTTGAAATTGCTTGTAGATTAGTTAAAGAGGATGAAATGATTGCCAAACCTGAAGTTAAAAAAACTGTAATTATTGATAAACCTCAAGAGGATTTGAATAGTAGAAGAGAAGTACCATTGAACCTAAATTTTGCTTCTTTAAAAGAAAAAATAAATAATAATCTTCAAAATAGTAAATCTTCAAACAAAAATAATGAGCTGGTAAAGTTTAGGTCAAACATTGCTCCAGAAGCTAATAAATCAGCTGAAGAAGAATTGAACAAGCACATATCCAAAACAAACTTCAAGCAAATGGAAATTATTGGACAATTCAATTTGGGTTTTATTGTAGCTAAATTATTTGAAGACTTATTTCTCATTGACCAGCATGCCACTGACGAAAAATACAATTTTGAACAATTACAATTAAACACTGTTATAGATAGTCAAAAATTAGTCAACCCAAAACTGCTAGAACTCACAGCAGCAGCTAAAGCAACTTTACTAGAACACGAAAACATTTTCAAAAAGAATGGGTTCAATTTCAAAAAGCAACAAACTGAATCCTGTGAAAACATCTTGCTCACTTCAGTTCCAATGAGCGACAAAACGATATTTGGCAAAAACGATATTGACGAAATGATTTTTATGCTTCAAGAAGACTCCAGTCAGGATAAAACGTGCAGGCCATCGAAAGTGAGAGCCATGTTTGCTTCAAGGGCTTGCCGGAAAAGCGTAATGATAGGGACTGCACTGTCAAAAACAGATATGCGCAAATTGGTAGATCACATGGGAGAAATTGACCAACCCTGGAATTGTCCGCACGGACGACCTACAATGAGGCATTTGGTCAATCTCAGTTTACTTACAGAGAACATTAGTGATACCTAATTAGGTTTTTTTTTATACAATTTACTTTTCTATTTTATGGTTTTTCCAGTTATTGTACTGTTTTTGTATGTAGCTATCCTTTTTTATTTTTATTAAAGAAATGTTTTAGTTTTAGTTTTTTTTGTTTTCATGTAGCTTTGAAGATAAATTTCTGAAAATTATGAAAAATCTTGGTCTTCAGGCTTCAATTGTATCATAGATAGAAATCTGAAATGTTTGGAATGAGGAATATCTTTTGTCAATTTTTCCGATGCTCTATTTTTTTTAAAACATTTTGGCAAATATCACAAAATGATCCACAGTATGAAGCTTGGGGGATCCCAAAAATGATCATTTGAACAGTGGAACAAAATGATAAAAAATCCTATGAAAACTAATAAAAAACCACGCTCCAAAGGAGAATAACTTGAGAATCAAAAGTTAAAATTGTTTTAAAAACAATTCTACAACAAATTGATATCTCTAGAACTTTCAACAGTCAGTCTAATATCTAACAGTGTCAGTGTAGATTGTAAATCTAGAAGGTTCAATACCCATATAACGCAGGTAAAAATTGAAAAAATTCCCGCGCAAGCCTGGTGAGAGGCAGAAATAAAATTTATTTTCTGCCGTACTTTTCGAACATCCGAAGAAACACCTCAGCTCTCCTCTGTGACGGTGCACGTCACGAACTGGTTCTCTGGGTTACGTGTTTTAAGAAAGAATAATTCCACTCCTCCTCAGCAATTTAAAGACCTTTTGTTTCAGTTCAAGTGGAAATTTAATAAGGGTGTCTGCAGGCCGGTACACAAAGTGGTTGAAAATAAAAAAGTGCGCTTAAATTGTGTTTAATAACATTTAATTTTACATCGGAAATAATATTTATTACAAGAAGATTTTGTTGTTGAAATCCTTGAAATTGTCGAGATTATTGAACAGGTCCGAGACGCGGCAATTATTTAGCGAGGTGAGAATTAATTTGTTTATGATGGAAAATTATTATAGTAGAATTAGATTTTTTTTTAACAATTTAATTTCTTTATTCATTTTAATCATTACCATTAAAAACTTAAAAATCCTTAAAATAGTGATATGCATTGGTGTTAAGGATACATAACAATCACAGTGTGTAAAAGCCAAATTATATAAAATAAAACAAAATATATGTAGGTATAATATAGGTACCCACCCATTTAACAACAAAGCGAAATGTTGAATTATCTTTTATTTATCTAGATTTGTTATGTAATTTTTAATGAATATTCTGTGAGACCTATTCAGCGGGAAAGCTGTTTGTCTAAAAATGCGTATCGAGGGGTCAGTTTTTGTATACACCATTACGGTGTTATGGGAAATCATGATTTCCTTTGATTTCTTCTGATTACCGGTCGGAGCCACAACTGTACAACTTTTGTATATGCACCTATCTTCTACCTGTGAAGGTAAAGGCTGTAGGTGGGGTGTCTGTACAAATAAGTGGATTATTGCGGAACTTATGGGTGGACCTCTGCGAGACGAGCGCAGCGAGTTCCGCAGCCATCTACTCACCAATATACTATTGAACTGTTCAAATAAGACACTCACCTGAAACGTGTAGTTTTTGAACTAATGAGAAAAATTCTCAACTGAGTGAATCAGGTTAGTATTTTACTTGAACAATAGATAGATGGCTGGGTCCACCCATAAGTTCCGCAAAAGCCACTCGTTTGTATTTGAATAACTTGTCACAATATATTACTAGTTTGGTAAAGTAACATTACTAATTCCTGTTAAAAGGCCAATTGACAAAAGGTGGATAATCTTACAATTTCTGACTTTATATAATAAGTTATTGTTTAAGAACAAATAAGTGGATTGTTGCGGAACTTATGGGAGGACCTCTACAGGACGAGCGCAGCGAGTTCCGCAGCCATCTAATCACCAATATACTATTGATGAACTGTTCAAGTAAGACATTCACCTGAAATGTGTAATTTTTAAACTAATGAGCACATTTGAGTGAGTCAGTTTAGTATCATAATTAAACAACATATTGATGAATAGATGGCTGCGGAACTCGCTGCGCTCGTCCCGCAGAGGTCCATCCATAAGTTCCGCAACGATCCACTCGTTTGTACTTGAATAACTTATCACAATATATTATTAGTTTGGTAAAGTAACATTACTAATTCCTGTTGAAACGCAAATTGACAAAAAGTGGATAATCTTACAAATTCTGACTTTATATAATAAGCTATTGTTCAAGTACAAATAAGTGGATTGTTGCGGAACTTATGGGTGGATCTCTGCGGGACGAGCGCAGCGAGATCCGCAGCCATCTAATCACCAATATACTGGCTGCGGAACTTGTTGCGCTCGTCCCGCAGAGATCCACCCATAAGTTCCTCAACAATCCACTCGTTTATACTTGAATAACTTATCACAATATATTACTAGTTTGGTAATGTAACATTACTAATTCCTGTTGAAAGGCAAATTGACAAAATTTGGATAATCTTACAAATTCCGACTTTATATAATAAGCTATTGTTCAAGAACAAATAAGTGGATTGTTGCGGAACTTATGGGTGGACCTCTTTCCCTTGATTTTGTTTATATTCTAAAATACTTTCATCGAAACGTGCGTCACTGGACTCTATAACCAAATTTATCTTCTGAAGGTATCCAGACTCCAGAGTCTATATAACCACCTCCATTAGAGCTTTTTTGGCCTTTGGATCAAGCTCATTTTTCTTTGTAAATTGAACATACCATGCTCGACAACCAAAAATTTCTAGCTCACTAAGTAAGGCCATCCCATTTTAGTGATGGGGTTTCTCCTCTATCGAGGACTGAGGTTGGTGTTCTATTTAATTCATACACTGATGACATTAATGCATTTCCCTACACTGTCTTGGGTACACCTGAGTCGATATTCTTGGTTCTGATCATATTTGAAAGTGTTCGGATCATACGTTCTGCTTTACCATCCATCTGCAGACTACAGGACATAGTGAATTCTAAATGAATAGGTACCCTTACTTTTGGCGAAGTCTTTAATATTGCGTGATGTGATTTCACCACTATTGCTCAAAATTCAGAAATATCCTCTTCAATGAAATTTGAGTCTCAGTTAATTTTTTGTCTCTGACTCAGAAATTTACGTTTCCTTTCAAAAGTATCCAAATTGGACCACCCTGTACACTATTTAACAACATATGTAAAGTAAAAATGAATGTTCAAAAAAATCATTGTTGATAATTCATAACCTGGGCCCCCTCTTGAAGAAAATCCTGGATCCGCCCCTGACTGGAAGCCGCCATGTTAAACTTAACTTTTTCGCGCGAAACTAAATTTCTGCCTTCCATTTCTCAATTTTTTCTGTCTAAATGTTTGTCTATTCCCGGCTCTTGAATTGTTTCCATCGGAATATCTCCAAACACTCACGAGAAAACGTACAGTGATTACCAGTTTCTAGGAATACTACTCAAATTTGAACAGTATTTCCAAGTATTTCGAGGTAGTTCCAAGTATTTCTAAATATTCCTAGATATTTCCAAAGCATTTCAAAAACTAAATTTTATTTCCAGCTGAAAAGCAGCAAGTTTTGTTTAGTATTCTCCTAAGTAATTCCAACAAATAGAAATGTTTTCTATGTCCTAGTTATTTCTTTTAGTGTTCAACATATTTTTACAGTAAACTAAACATAATGTGCTAACTGTAGGTATTAGGTAATGGAAAATTGGGGTGAACAGTTTTTGACAATTCTAAAAATCAATTAAATTTTGTTATTTTTTGTTTAGTATCGTAATTAAACAACATATGGATGAAAAGTTCCGCAACAATTCACTCGTTTTTTAGTCGAGAATATAGGATGAAATATAGGACATCCCATTTGAAAAAAGCTGGAAGCATGCAAAATTTCACATTTCTGACATTCAAATTTTGTTTCTGACCATGGTTTCAATGGTTTCTCAAAATTCAGCCAGAACTATAAAACTTTTGTATTTACACCTTTCTTTTACCTGTAAAGGTAAAGGCTGTAGGTGGGGTGTCAATATATAAAAAAACACCCTATAGTCCGACAAATACCATTTTAAAGTCACATGATACTGGTGGCAAAAAACGTATGTCCATTGATTATGTCGTTGATATCACCTACAAAAAGCTACTGGTGGTTAATTACTATTGAATTTTAATATATGTTCCCACTAGCATTTTACAAACGCGTTTCTGAAGTAGTATTGACCAATCAGAGGGCAATTTTAATACTTGCAATTGTTGCGAGACTCACTTTTGTCGCATCTGCTGTCTGTTGTAATACATTCTGAACTTAAACTGGGTACCCATTTTCTATTTGCTTCTTTTCGAATTGGAAAAAGGTTAATACAGTCAAAATTATTAGCTGTGTTTGTTCGTTGTATTATTTTCGAAAATAACTTTGACAAACTAATTGATGACAGTGACGGATTCTATTTGAGGTAAGAATATTATGAACAATAATTAGACAGCAATTTTTTTGTCAATTTTACTATCACTGCTGTTTGAGATGTATTCAACAAGGATAGAGAAAAGTCACGTGACTTTAAAATGGTATTTGTTGGATTATACCTACCTATTTAAAATCACCTTATTCTCCTAAATAGTTCTCCCATTCCCATATTTTTATTGGCCATTCCTTCAAAAAACCGTATTTCACAAAATGCGCTGCCAAAACTAACCCAATCTGGCTTACTTTAACTTAAACTGCCTCCCCCCACCCTTTCAAAAGGCCTGTATTCGCCCCTGGGTGAGTGCCCAAGAGTTGACATTGACTGATTTCCTTCAGTTCCCTAAGATTTCCCATGATTTCCTTTGATTTCCTTATGATTTCCCATGAGTTCCTTAAGATTTGTTCATTTTCTCCCCTGATTGCCTTAGATGTCTTTGGATTTCCTCTTGATTTCCTTTAATTTGAACACAAAGCCTTGCGATTTACCCCTCGGTGCGTATAATAGACGTTACATACCTAATGGAGGTAAATTCAAATAAAAATACAAAAC